TTAAAACGGCCACTACTTCCTCGCTACCTGTCTTATATTGTTGGCTCTATGACAAAAACTACAAAGTTTCAAGTGAATCGGGTAGCGCGAGCAGTTAAACGACAAGCAATGAACCATACAAACATTCTTTACAGATGAGCTCGATGAGATGAGCTTACAATGTTAATGATGTTATCTTCGAAGTCTTAGCGGATGAAACCGAAATCTGCACCGGCCGGTTTGAGAAGTTGCCAAAAATGTTGGTTACGAAATTTACTAATTACGCAAAAAAATTGTCGACGAGTCATAAATATGTTTCACACAAATAATACACGCATATCTTTTTTTCATGATTTCGATAATTTACTTTTTTATTTAACTGATTGATCGGTTGACTCATCGCCACCGACGGAGAGGAAGCAATGAAATAATTTTAATGGGAATATAAAAGAAAATGGACTCAAGGCTGCAGACTAGATTGACTGATTTATGGCAGCCAAGGTTAGCCGAAAGATATCTGCTAAGTGCAAATCTTAAAAGAAAACAGATGTTATACGTCACAGAACATCTAAAGAATATTTATTTTCGTAAATAGATACATACATTTACCACAAAACTAATCATAAATTTTATTTGAGTTGGTATTTATGACGTAATCAGAGTCAAGATTCTCTTTTTCTACATACTTTGTTCTGAATTTCCTAAGTATTTGTCGAAAAAAAAAAATTAATTTACAATATTTCACGGATAGCTTTCCAAACGACACTTTTAAATGAGTATCTAGAGTCGTATTTAACAAAAGTCTTCGACCTTTCCACTTTTGTTGGTGAAATTTATTTGTCGTTAAAGGATTGGAAGCCGTTTCAATTGGTTAAAGTTGCTTTCAACTTAAAAGTTGTTCGACTAAACCCGACTCTTGTAAATTTTTTATAAATTTGATATCATCGTTAGAAAATAGTGTATCATCTTCTTTTCAAATGTGTAGGTCCAAATTTTCGCAGTCATATTGAGATGGTTTTGAGTCATCAGAAACCGTTTTTGCTGGCAAATACCAGAGATTACCACAGACAATAATAATAATTACATAATAATTTAAGACGGTCGGGATTTGTTATAAATAAAATTATCGCCTACGCTGCTAGTCGATACTTTGTAAGTGAGTCACGTTAGCTCATGAAAATTTCTTTCACTACATGTTATTTGCACATCTCGTTACATATTGTAAAATGTCAAGAGAAATGTAAACTCATTTATCATTATACGAGAAAACGAATTGTACTCTTCCGGCCTTATTTGTTAGTTTTTTTTGTTGTTGTTAGATAAGCTTTATATTTGACATATATATATTTTTACCCTTGTAGGCAGACGAGCACATGGCCCACCTGATACTGAGTGGTTACCGTCGCCCATGGACTTCAGCAATGCCAGGGGCACAGCCAAGCCGCTGCCTACCGTTGAGTACTCTCCACAAGCCTCGTTTGAGGAAGGACAAGTCATAGCGCTCTGGAAACACCGTGGAGGGGAGCTCATTTCAAAGCCGGACGGTACGTGGCGAAAAGATCTCTGGAAACGCACTGTGGATGAACGCAGGGGCTCCAGGTAGTTAGTATGTATGAACTCTACTCCGGTGGCGGACGGTGCGATAGTAAAAACGAGATGATGGAATTATCTCAAAGAATACCTCAGAGCACTCGTCATGGAACATACGATACAAAATACAGAGAGAAGCGAAGTCTCTCCGCAAACCCAGAGGTTCCAAACGATCCGTGAGAACGGGATTATCGACAATCCGAACGACCCTCTTCTGTATGGAGTCAAATATTTAAAAGGCCTTTAAAAGACGATTGTCGAAGTCTTATGAATATAAAATTTAAATAATTTTCATTAGGAATAGTACTCGTTCAGTCTAGGTTTAGTATCACTTACGCTACATTGCAAGTAAATCATCGGGTGCATGTTACTGCAATTAAATCATTTATACTTCAGCGATGAAATTTTAAAGTTAGATCTATCATCGTGGTAACTGATCGTAGTTCTATGTTTTATACCTATGGCATACTTAGTCCTATGGCATACATACATCCTTACTTATGGCATACTTAGTCCTATACATTTTATTTGTACCTACACTCCAAATTACATTTAGTTATTTCATCTGTTTAATAATGTAAGTATTCCTCTGGTTTCTGTCTCAGCGTTTATCCATTTTGAACGGAGTAATTTTTAAATTTGGTCTTAATGGGTACCGAGTTCAAAATGATAATAAAATTCTATAGTAATTTCTTTCTAATTAGTAAAAGTAAAGTTCGTTTATTATCAGTTCATCTGCTCGTTTGCAGCTTTTGTTTGTCAGGCCAGTACCTATCTGCTTGTACACACTGATTTGGTTCATTTTAATTATTTACTATTTGCCATATAAAATATCAGATAAAAATATGGTCAATTGTTACATACTGAGTGATTTAGGGATACAGTATTTATTAATCAAGGAATTCAATATATTTTATCAGTTACATACAATATGATGGTGTAATTTTACAAGATCAATCACTAATTGAATCCGTTACGGCTTCATTTGAATAGGGATGGCCGGAAGTTGAATAATTAATAGTTTTAAAAGAAAACAGCTCCAGAACTTCGTAGGATTACGACAATGAGGCCAAGCGACGACTTCACCGGCAGCTGTCGAACTAGAGCGACCGATACATATCCCAGAATACATCGGTTATAAAGAGACAACGTCAACGTTCTAGATTATTTGATGTTCTACATAATCATTTGAGAATCGTGTTGTGGCTCGGATTTTTGAACAGCAGCGAAAATAAAATAAAAACGAAAATAACCGAAACTTTATGAGGAGATAAAAATTCTTAAATTCCTTAAGAACAGATGTCATGTCATGTCACGACGGGATTATAATTATATTCGTTTGTAGTGAAATCGGAACCATCTGTCCCGAAACATCAAATCGAAATACATATTCTATAGATAGATATCCACAAATTCACAGGAACGAAGCGTTGGGTTAATAGTAAATATTGACTCCAGCGCCGGTTTGTTTACACCGGCGTTCATTTGTTGACGTAGCGAGCGCCTTAGCTAACCGAACTGATAAACGGGAGGTTTACCCTTGTGACAATGAGTGGAGTGGCGAGGTCTGCGCCGCCCACAAGCCGTAGTCCCCAGTTGATCTCGCGAGAATCCCTCCGCAGGGTCACTACGAACGTATGCAATCGGCCCATTGCGTTCGGATGCACTTGCGCGAACGCACTGTTGCGCGGATAGTACGACCGCGGCGGCAAGACACGACGTTCTGCGAGCTAAATTAGCCCACGCCGCAAACACGCATCCTCCCCGCCCGCCTTAGTTTCATGTAACCCTGCCTTCGCAATCGACCCAGTTCGATTTACGGAAACGATTCGATATTGATGACCGCCCATCAGGCTGCCTCCGAGATATGCCTCGCTGTTTATTTACTCCGATTTGTAAACCACATTACTTTGACCTACATAAAAATTACACTTCAAAATATAAATGGGATAAGGTCGAAGAATTGATGGCGTAAATAAACATGTTAAAATTATTGTGATTACATTAACTACGCTTGATAAATGGGTTAGCAGAAACTTTATAGTTTATAATATATATTAAAAATTCAAAAATGTTGTTAAGCTTATTGGGTTTTATGGTCTTCGNTAAACCACATTACTTTGACCTACATAAAAATTACACTTCAAAATATAAATGGGATAAGGTCGAAGAATTGATGGCGTAAATAAACATGTTAAAATTATTGTGATTACATTAACTACGCTTGATAAATGGGTTAGCAGAAACTTTATAGTTTATAATATATATTAAAAATTCAAAAATGTTGTTAAGCTTATTGGGTTTTATGGTCTTCGATCAACTATACGAATTATTATTTAGTTGGAATAACAAGCTGTCTGAAGGCAACCGATCGTGTGAAAGTTTAAGAAAACAATATTGCTCATTTATATACTCGCGTGCACTACGCTACCATTGGCGTAGTCCAGCGTTTAATTGTTAAATTTAGACTGAAATCATGTTGATGTTTGCCAACTTCCCCATTTGCATTTTGTTCGTTATCGATAATTTGAAATGGAGCTCTCTTTTGGTGAGAATTTTCCAATTGGCACAAGAAGAGTTTCATTATTTTTGAGGCTTGATGGCTGAAAGTAGTTTAAAAGCGTGTAGCTTGTTCTCATTATTTTATGTATCTAAATGAACACGCGTCTAAAATGATACATTTGAAATCACCGAAATCGTGAAACGGTAAAAATACATGGGAAATAAATATTTTGGGAGAGATTGCGACTGATTAAGACTCTTATGAAATATTTTGATATAAGTCGCAGTTTTCATGTCTACTTGTACTTAGATGTCCGAAAGGAAAAGACTTTAAGTACTGGGTAAACATACTACGTTTTTATTTCTTATGCAATTCTTATTGATTTAGACTGAAGTTACCTTTTAGTGGTAGCTTGATTTAAATTATATAATTTCAATAAAATTCTTATTAACCATACATAACTTTCCTAGAAGTTCCTTGTTTCATCGAAGTCCGAGTTCGAATAAACAAAAGACCTAACAAAAGAAGCACACCAATAAATTTCAATTTTCTGTCAACACCCCATCAGTATTCAACCACGAAAAAAAATTCATTACGCAAGATTAATAAAACAAAAACATGTTTAGTAAAACTTCGGTTCGTATTTTCATTTATCACTATCACTACATAGTATAAAACAAAGTCGCTTTCTCTGTCCCTATATCCCTATATATGCTTAAATCTTTAAAACTACGCAACGGATTTTGATGCGTTTTTTTACTAGATAGAGTGATTGAAGAGGAAGGTTTATATGTATAATAACAGCCATTAAATAGTGGAGAAATTAATAATAAATTACAGTTGCCGAAGCGAAGCGAGGGCGGGTAGCTAGTTCTTTATATATTTTAGTCTCTTTATTTAATTTTCACATTTTTTGGTAAATGCTTACCTTTCGTTGACCAAAGTTCCTGGGCTCGTCTTCAGGGTCCACGCGTTGGTGTGGCACCCGCCAGAACGGTGGTCTCTGATACATTGGCATAGTTTTCTTTTAATTCTAAAACAAGAAATCACTTTACTGTTTTAATCATGCCAAAAGCTCGTTACAACTGCATGCTTTCAATTTCAATGACTAGAAACCGTAGGAGCATTAATTTTGAGCCTTCATAAAATTTAGTTTTTGGCAACGCATATACGTAATAAATCTCCAGTCCCATGAAAGATATACGTAGACGACAGGAAGTAGGTGGGGGGCCAGTGAAGTCTCGTACTCACCAGAGGGCGTAGAGCGTCGTGGCTGCCGGCGCGCCGCTCGACAAACTATGGCGCAGTTTCCGATTATCTCGAATTATTCTCAGCTACATGAAATTATCTATTTTTCGCGTGAGATCGCAGCGGGCGTCGGTGCGACGGGTCGTCTTCAAGTGATTTACAAGGCGGTGGCTGCCGAGCTGTTTCTGGGCCAATGTGAGAATCACCAGTGCTTCGTACTGAAGCCCAGAGTACTGTGGGGTTCATTGCTCCCTGTATTTTTTCCGCATTGTGTGCATGGAATGATGGTTCGCTATTCCAGAACGTTTTGCTTCGGGGTAACGAACCATTGAAGGTTATTCAAAGATCTGTACGATTGGAAAAACATCAGTTTCAAAATAAACTGAATAGATTCGTAAATTCGTTGATACTTAGAACTTAAAGAAAAACTATGAAATTCTTTTATTAGTATCGAGAATATAACTATGACGTTCAATAAATTATTAACCACCAACCTTGTTGTGGAAAAAACAAAATTATAATTGACTTTCTAAAACAATTGAAGATCAATTAAAACTCCAGACTATACGACATTTTTTTCCTACCTATTCTAGTAGCCCCGAAAGCTTATATTAGATTCGCAGAATCTACCACCGGATCAGAAACGCGACCAGCTGAGAAGATCCGGCGAGAGACTCAGCGGGTTGTGTGTGTGAGTTAATTTGCTCGCCGAGCCCTTCGTCGCAGGCGACGGGTTCGACGAGAACGACCGAACCGGTGCTTGAGGTACCTAAAAGCACCGTTAGTGGATCGGGAGGATCCGAAATGACATGTTCAGGGCGACTTTGACTGTTTACCATTCGGTCCGCAGGATCGGGTATGTAGATACCGGTGGCTACGACAAGAGGGTTTCCGTGTAGTGCCGCTTTCTCGAAATGGAATACGACCTGTTAACGGATCAACGAACTCGGAAACGAACTACTGCTCATATTTGACGGGGGAAAAATGGAAGATAAAGAAAACTTTAGATGCGGTTATAGATTTTTTTTTGCTTAGATGGGTGGACGAGCTCGCTGCCCACCTGGTGTAAAGTGGTTACCTTGAGATATAAGTTCTAAGATCTCAGTATAGTTACAACGGCTGCCGCAACCTTCAAACCGAAACGCATTACTGCTTCACCACCACCATGCCTATTTCTGCCGGTGGGTCCTTCCACTAGTAATAAAATTGTGATAAAAGCATGTAATTTTTGTAAATGCACATAAATACTTTGTGAATACGCAATGTAGCGAGAAGGTAGGCAGACGTGCCCCATGTATCGTATAGAACGTTGACCCCGCGCGTCAATTGATTTTTTATTGCTTCATTACGTGATATTATGTAAAATCATTTACGAATTTAGATTTTTTTTTTCTATGTCATCGTGTCATCTCCATTCACCATGTATTCGTCATCAGGAACTCTTTCAATATACCCAGTATCTGTGTAGAGAAAATAATAACGCAACCAATCATGATTAAAAAATATTTAATAATTTGAAATTTACATTAAAGACCAGAATAGTTAGATCACATTCAAAATGCTTAATGCATATTGATATTCTTAAACATTTACAAATTAATACTATATAAAACAATTATGACATAAATTAATTACAAAAAGAAATTTGCCTTTGAAATGAAGCTTTATGGTAATTGTTGTATAAAAAAATACTAATCAAAATTTAAATGATTGTTTATAAAAATCTACATTTACGCAGTTTAGGAAAAATATTTCATAGTTTTTTGCAAGAACAAATACAACATGACAAAAAACAATTAAATATATGATTTTATGAGAGTTTCATAGCGCAGTAAGCATGTTTAAGATAATATTATGAATACAAAAGTATGTTTTTTGGACTAACCTTTGTCAGCAGCGAATCGACAATATTATGGCAAGGCAGTTCACGAGAATAATTAAAACAATATATGAGTAAAACTGCGTGACATATTTAGTAATATAAACCTTAATAAAATTAACGACATCATTAGCAATTGGATCTGGATACATATTCAAGATAATTAATCTATAGCTTAAAAATGTCATTTTCTTAACGATTATTATTTTACAATTTCAATTATCTCACGGGCAGCGATGGACAGTAACTGTCTTTTATTTGCATTGCATTTAACTTAGAGAGCATCTCAGTTAGGCGGTAAGGTATTGCCAGCAAGATGTCTGAGAGCCTGGGAAACTAATCTATATCGATTTTGTGAAAGTTATTTGAGCAATTTAAAAATCAGAAGGAAACAGGCCAAGAGGGCTTCGACCCATGCGCTGCTTCGATCAAATTAAGAAGACATTGGACTCTAATAGCAGGGTCGCTATCCACTGCGCAGACAATAGTAATGAATGTAGGTACATAGTTCAAACAAAAGTGCTCTGTAAAGGTTACGACTCTCAGCATTGAGGTACACGATGCAAGGAGGAGGAAAAAAACTATTTAGTTTTTATGGAAACATTAACTACCTACTATCCGCGGAAACATTTACCAAATCACAAAACAAATCTGAGATAGAGTATTATTATTTCAGTATAAGAATAGTCGTAGTGTGAATAGTTAGACCTAGAGCATTTTTGAGCTAATAAATACAATAAACTTATTATTAAAGCCTATGAAAATTTGTGTTAAATATTACACGCATTGTATCGAAAATTACATAGCCTCTGATGTAAAAGCGGTGTTGTTCGAATTGCATTGCTGCTTTGCTTCGAGTTTGCCGTCATCGCACTCATGGTCCAAGCAGAATCATGCATGAGAAGTAAGACGTAGTCAACGTACTAATGTTCATGTAGCATATGGCAATGCATTGACATTACTGTATTACGGGTCAATGACTAGGACAACGACATATTTTCTGACGAGAAATTATGTTAATAACGTTCATTTCCAAATTTTCGAGGCTTAACCCCGTATGTTATTAACCATTTAATATCTGTAATAGTGCAGCGTCGGAAAATGAAACAAATTCGTTGGACGTAAATTTTCAGGTTCTTCTAAAGTACATTGAGTTCTTGGTGAATTTCCGCCGCTTTACTGTTATTCAATTTCATTCCGTTTTTCATTAATATCAATATCAATTCATCCTAATTGAATTTTTTATGTAACTAATATTATGTGCTTAGTTCTTTTATAAAAAAAAAACTTGGCAGTATGTGCCATGTTCCCTTTGACTGTCGAATTTGACAAATCCAATGAAGCCATTTTATATTAACTAGCAACTTAGCCCGCTTTCACGTTGAACTTCTTAGACAATTTTACTGTTTCTAGATACCTTTATACACTTTTAAATATTGAAACACCTTCGAAAAGTGTTGTTGGGAGAGGTTGTATTATATAAGTTCAGTAGTCAGATATATATAAGTCAGAAGTCGACATTATTTCTAGAACAATTCAGTATTAGTAAATGTACACAACAGTAGGAGTTATTATACATGATATTGCATTCAGAAATGCAGTCTTTTGTATTTAACGGATTTTCGGAGAAAAACAAAAAAAAAATTGTACGTAATATAACATGATGTAACTGCAAATACGCGTGAGTGTGAGAAGCATGGCTGGATGCTCTCTACTGTCTTTAAGGAATTCTGCATTTATCTTACTGTCACTGTCAATAGCTCTTTACTTACCTACCGTTACTTTCTTAATAAAACTTTCTGAAAAACAGCATTTTCTTTTACGTCACTTGCGACAGTATTGTGTAGAGTCAGCAAACTCGAAACAAAATAGAAAGAAAAAAAATATTATATAAAAATAAAAACATTTTTGGATTGACCATCTTTGGATTGATTTAAGAAGATTACAAACATTTGAAGACATGAGTGATGAAGGGGTTAAGTGCAATATTTTAGATTTTTGATTTTTTACATTGAATGACGGTGCCATGTGCCTATAAACCATATTAGACCTTAAAACTACGTGTTTAAAGGCTATTTTTAGAAATTGCACGTGATGAAGGAGTTATGTACAAAGAAAAAATACCAAATTGTATCATATCCCCTTTCATCCTTTATTTATAATGTAAAATTAACGGTTTTTGTTTCTTTACGTAATTTCGTTTCGTCGGTTTAAAAATCTAAGATTGCTGGTTTCGTATCTCTGGCGCATTTTATAAGCGAATACATTAGTTTTACGAAACCTGTGTCCTTCGGTTTCTCCAGACCTCGGAGCAGCCTGTTCTTCATCACTGCCACAAATTCTCGGTTGCTCAGCTGTCCGTCCACTGGGATGGTAATATTTATTAGTTTTGTATTACTATATTGAAAAATTTTCATCATATCTGATATCGAGGCGTGAAAGGCTATTTAGTTTAAGTGACATTTCGCTTAACACGCGACATTTATCTTTGTAATTAAAGGATCCTCCCGATCCATTAACGGTGCTTTTAGGTACCTCAAGCACCGATCACCGTCCTCACCGAACCCGTCGCTTGCAACGAAGGGCTCGGCGAGTAAATTAACCCACAGACAACAGTCCAATGAGTTTATCGTCGGATCTTCTCAGTGGGTCGCGTTTCCGATCCGGTAGTAGATTCGTGAAGCACTGCTCTGGCCAGTGTTAGCAACACCTCCAGTTTGAGCCCACCTACATGCTAGGGTAACGCTGATATAGCCTCTCAAGGCTATCAGCAAATGTAATCGAACCGAAACCGAAACGCATTACTGCTTCGCGGCAGAAATAGGCAGGGCGCTGGTACCCACCCGCGCGGACTCACAAGAGGTACCTTCCACCAGTAATTACGCAAATTATAATTTTGCGGGTTTCATTTTTATTACACGATGTTATATTCCTTCACCGTGGAAGTCTAATCGTGAACATTTGTTGAGCACGTATATTTCATTAGAAAAATTGGTACCCGCCTGCGAGATTCGAACACCGCGGTGCATCGCTCAACACGAATACACCGGACGTCTTATCCGTTAGGCCACGACGACTTCTATGATGACCTACGAAAAACACAGCAACACTATAGCCCGGGGGTTGCCAGAATACAAAAACAAAAACAAAAACTTACTATTTTCATCGAAAATAGTGAAGACTACATTGATGACGTGCGGGTCGAGGTCGACGTGCGCGACCGTTCGCGCCACGTGGCGCAGCGTGGGCTGGTCGATGGACGCGCCCGCGATGTGGTAGAACGTCAGCGCCGTGTCGACGTCGTTAATGTTGTTCAGGAAGTGGAAGAACTTGAGGTAGTCGTCCTTCGTGATGCCCACGCCGTGGTCGCGGAAACTGGAATAACCAATGTAATAAACCACCGGGGCTTGAAGGATAAGACGGTGGTTGTACTGGTGGTAGGACCTCTTGTGAGTCCGCGCGGGTAGGTACCACCGCCCCGCCTATTTCTGCCGTGAAGCAGAAATGCGTTTCGGTTTGAAGGGTGGGGCAGCCGTTTTAACTATACATGAGATCTTAGAACTCATATCTCAAGGTGGGTGGCGCATTTACGTTGTAGATGTCTCCAGTAACCACTTAACACCAAGTGGGCTGTGAGCTCGTCCACCCATCTAAGCAATAAAAAAAAAACAACACAAATTTTCAATGGTTTTTCTTAGGGCAATACCAATAAAATTGAGATTAAAATGGTTCCGGAGGCTTAAATTTTTATATACGATGCGTTATTATACATAGTTCATTACAAAATATACACAGAAACTAAGAAAACTAGCTTGACCCGATTCACCTTGGCTTTGGGGTGAATCAGGTTACGTATGGGGACAATAGTTTTTCGATAGGGCTGGCACGATTTAGTTGTTAGGTAGGTACCTAACTTTAGGTAATTAACTTTTTAATATCTTTAATGAGTTACAAACCTTTGATGACTAAATTAAACAATTTAATATTCTTGAACACTAAATAAAAGTCATTTTCAGTTCAACAAAGTTAAATCTAACAACTCAACAAAAGTATTGTGACATACCAGATTTGTTCCTATTCTAACTCAAGTCTCTATTCCCCCCAATCTACTGTAATTACTGGTGGTAGGACCTCTCGTGAGTTCGCACGGGTAGGTATCACTACCCTACCTATTTCTGCCGTGAAGCAGTAATGTGTTTCGGTTTGAAGGGTGGGGGGCAGCCGTTGTACTGTACTGAGACCTTAGAACTCATATCTCAAGGTGGGTGGCGGCATTTACGTTGTAGATGTCTTTAGGCTCCGATAACCACTTAACATCACAGAGCCATAAGCTCGTCCACACATCTAAGCAATAAAAAAAATCCTTCATTCAAGTAGAAAACTACGAAAACAAACAAAGGCGAAAATAATTCTTATCATTTCTTATCATAATAATTCTAGATTGGCAAAGTCTTGAATTGTACTTTCACTGTACTTACGTTTTTTTAACGCGTTTCAACATTCTAGCCTTCTTCTTAGCAGGGTACCCGGCATACGCCAGTAGCAGCTCTGCGAAATCCGCTTCGGTGATGTGACCAACTTCATCTGAAATCATTGGAACTAACTTGATGCCATTTTAAAATTGAATAATAATATATATTTTTGGTGTTTTTAAAATATTTTATAACTAGCGGCCCGCTCCGGCTCCGCTCGGGTCTTTAACAAAAATTTCAACGATATTTAACGTTGTTTTATTTTTTAACATAAAAGAATACTTATTGCGGCATAACTGTGTTCTACTAAGTCGTAGTACATTATTTTATTCTATCATTAATAGTTTTCGCAGCGCACGCGATGTAATGAATATTTTAGGTAATTTTTTTACAACTTGGGTTACATTATTAAAGTTCAAGGATCCCTTTTTTTTTTCAAAAAAGATTATAGCCTATATCACTCCAGGACAAATGTAGCTTCCAAAGAGTGAAAGAATTTTTCAAATCGGTTCAGTAGTTTCGGAGCCTATTCAATACAAAGAAACAAACAAATCTTTCCTCTTTATAATATTAGTATAGAAGTATAGATTAATAAATATCTATACTAATATTATAAAGAGGAAAGATTTGTTTGTTTGTTTGTTTCGAATAAGCTCCGAAACTACTGGACCGATTTGAAAAATTCTTTTTCCATTAGAAGCCGACATTGTCCCTGATGAAAATAGGCTACTTTTTTTTTATTTTTTTTTTTATTTTTTTTTTGGTTTCATGTGTGTTTTAATGTTTCCGAAGCGAAGCGAGGGCGGGTCGCTAGTAGTTAATAAAATAAAAACAAAAAATGGACGGTAGTTAGCACAATATTCTAATGTCGAAGAACGACACCTTAGTCGACTGTCATCACGAAAACTAAAGTATTCGAAACGTCTGAAACTTTTTTATTTTTTATTGCTTAGTTGTGTGGACGAGCTCACAGCCCATCTGGTGTTAAGTGGTTACTGAAGCCCATAGACATCTACAACGTAAATGCGCCACACACCTTGAGATATAGTTCTAAGGTCTCAGTATTGTCACAACGGCTACCCCACCCTTCAAACCGAAACGCATTACTGCTTCACGGCAGAAATAGGCGGGGTGGTGGTACCTACCCGTGTGGACTCACAAGAGGTCCTACCACCAGTAATTACGCAAATTATAATTTTGCGGGTTTGATTTTTATTACACGATGTTATTCCTTCACCGTGGACGTCAATCGTGAACATTTGTTAAGTACGTATTTCATTAGAAAAATTGGTACCCGCCTGCGGGATTCGAACACCGGTGCATCGCTCAACACGAATGTGCCGGACGTCTTATCCTTCAGGTCACGACGACTTCAAACCCTTCGTCCTTCCAACGAGTTTCAAAAAGCATTTCAAACAAACAAATAATATACACATATTATATAGACATAGTGCGCGTACCGGGTTGTTTCCTCTGGAATTCAAGAGACAATATCTCTTTTTGCAGTTGATGCTGGAAGTCCAGGAATTTTTCTATAGTCAATTTTTCGTCGAGTTTAGAACCGAAGAAATAAGTTGTCAGAGCCGAGTTTATGCCCTGGAATGAAATTATTTTTATACTGTCAACTTGTGATACATATTATGTTTTTAATATTTAATTAAGCCAGACTGAGGTGGAGGAATATTTTAGGGCAAATATAATCGTAGTTTAAATTGTCAACGGCATAAATTGAGAATAATGTGGTGATACGTCTAAAGTGAGTTTTGAGTGTGCGGCCTTTTGCAAATGAGTTCGGCATGTCAACATAGGAAACACTGGGAAAAGAAACAAAGCCGCCGGACGCAGTTTTTCAGGTTCTCTCAAAAAGTTACTGAAAAGGTTTCAGTAAAAACGAACATTTAACTGAGATTATAGTTTATCTCATTTCGCTTCTTTCCATTTTTCATACTACAACAGAATTTAAGAAGAAAACATAAGACTTGGTTAAATTTTCAGTAAAAACCAACATTTTACTGAGATTATATTTCATTACATTTCTTTCCATTTTTCATATTACAACAGAATTCAAGAAGAAAATATAAGACTTGGCTTAAAGGTCTTGTTACCGGGTCATTAAATTAAAAAAAAGTTTACCATAACCGTAATAACAAACATCAGCAACGGTAGAGACTGTGCATAGCAGAAATACTAACCTTAAAAGTGTTTCCGGTATTAGCGTGGTCTCTGTGCCTGGAACCGATGCTACTCTGCTGTCGGATCAGTGCGGCCACCTTCTCGAACTCCTCGCAGTCCACATCTCCGTCCCCGTTCAGGTCGAACATTCGAAACGCGATCTCGAAATGGCGACGTGATGCTTGAAAATTATATTTTTATTGGCGTTGGGCCTAAACGAATGTGGGAGTTGTTTTTTATTTGTTGCTTAGATGGGTGGACGAGCTCACAGCCCACCTGGTGCTAAGTGGTTACTGGAGACCATAGACATCTACAACGTAAATGCGCCACCCATCTTGAGATATAAGTTCTAAGGTCTCAAGTATAGTTACAACGGCTGCCCCACCCTTCAAACCGAAACGCATTACTGCTTCACGGCAGAAATAGGCAGGGCGCTAGTACCTACCCGCGCGGACTCACAAGAGGTTCTACCACCGGTAGCAGTTTTAATACTGAGTATTGCAATTTTATTTGCTGTCTAAATACATTTAAGATGTACATATATAATAATATTAATAATAACTGGGAACAAATCACACACTGTCATTCGGCACCTATTTATGATTCCCAAATATACTTAAATATGTTTAAATATATACATATGTATATAGAGAATAAATACCAAGACAGAGAGCAAATAAATTTGTGGGAATCGAACCAACGACTCTCGGTGCAACAGTCAGAAGCGCTAATTATTGCATCATCGAGTCCGACATCGTCATCCAAACATATTTAATTAAAATTTCGTTTTATTCTCGCGATTAATATTTATATTATTTTCGACGTTTTGAAAACTTTACAGCTCTCGAGATTTATAACTTATAGAACTAGAACGTTAAAGAACATTCGAGATCAAACCGTAAATGTAGTAGTTTGAACTACGTCCACGACTTGCGAGAACTGAATTTTAGTACATTTCAATTATTATGAATTTTATGAATTGAAGACATGAGTGGGTGAAAGCTTTAAGTACGATTTTTAAGATTTTTGAGTTTTTACATTGAATGAAGGTGTTATGTGCCTTTAAACCATATTAGAGTTTAAAACTCCGGATTTAAAGGCTATTTTTAGAAACTGCACGTGATGAAGGAGTTGTACAAATAAAAAGTACAAGTAACAAAAGTTTGTTGCCCGTTTTCTCAAAATTAACAAATTGTATAATATCCCCTTATCCACTCATGTCTTCAATTGTCCTTTTCAGTTTCCATTTGAAACCTTAAAAACATTATCACAATATTACAATGTCACGGGAACATTCAACGTGCAGTTTATGCATTCTAAACAAAAACATTCTTTCAAATTATTAAATTAATACATATAGATATTATAATAATTTTATGTCTGATTTTGTGAGTTTGTTTGGTTTGTCTAGTTTCATTCGCTTCGCCTACAAGCTACCTATTTTTAGATCCACGATAATAACTGAGTATCTCACCAATAGTGGTGAGACGAATCTCAAGCGAGGAGGGTGGAAAATCATTAGATCCGCTCATGCTCGGTAGCGAACTCGCCCCCACCCCCTTTGGAAGCTGCGTAGACATCTCCCATGTATTTGCGTAGGAATAGCCGAATACCAAATAACATGTACGAACAATAACTAGTCTAAAACTCTCCAGAATTCAAAGTAAACAAGCGATATTTTTTCTTTTTCGCGGATTATGACGCGCCAAAATGTTGATCTCAGTGAAACGGTTGCGGGCGAGGATAAAAACGAAAGCCTATCATTGTTTACGTTGTGGCGCGAAAACAGCTACCTTCATATTTTGGGCCACATTGTACATGATAGTCATGAAAATGACAATTTTCAAGAGCAACACCACAACTGTACCGGTGAAGGATTGGGCGATACCACCTGATAATTACACCAAATGGATGGTAACAACATCATCTTCGGCTTGTGGCACTGCTTTTAAAAAACATTTTAGATTCATGGAATTAGATTTTAGAGATGTAATGAACTTTTAAATGCAGTTTCAGGGTCCAGTTATAGGCGATGACGAGCCTGAGACGGATTCGAATCAGAACCAATGGTTGGAGCCAGACAACATAACGGTCCAAGAACTAGAGCAACGCGTTATTAGAGTACAGAATGTTTGTCGTAAACGACACCTGCCTTCGGATACAATAAATAACAAGGAATTCTTTGTAGATCACCTGCATAATCTCGTGTGGTGTAATGTTTTTAAAGCTGCCAGTTCCTCTTGGTTATACAAATTCAACATTCTAGGTAGTACTTTGATTACATATTTATAGAATATTTATAGTTAAAATTTTGCTACCTGAATTTACATTATTTTTGTTCGTTGCAGGCGGTTACGATAGGAAATTTTTGGGAAGAACAAGGCAAACGCCTCTGATGCTGGCAAGAAAAAAGTTTCCACGTCCAAATGCCGAAGAATTGAAGGACTCTATAAACACGCCCGGCGTCATTTCTTTAATGATAGTTCGCGAGCCGTTCGTTCGTCTCCTGTCAGCGTATCGGGATAAATTAGAGAACATAACTCCGCCATATTACAGAAAACTAGCGAGGGCCATCGTGGCCAGGCACAGGGAAGATGCAACAAAAATCCTTGGACCAATAAAAAGTTTCGGACCTACGTTTTACGAATTCGTAGCTTATTTGATACATAAACATAAGGAAAAAGATGAAAAATTTACTTTTGATGAGCACTGGGCGCCGTATTATCAGTTTTGCTCTCCGTGCGCAGTTAATTTTACAGTAATCGGTAAAGTGGAAACTCTTAAAAGGGACTCTGCGTATGTGATACAACAACTAGGTCTCGGACATTTGTTAGGTCGAACCACAGGGGATAAGCGGACGAGACTTCGCACAGTGATGAACAAATCAAGAGACGGAAAGAACACGACATCTTTAATGAAATATTACTTTAGTCAACTAAACGAAAATTTGCTTAAAGATCTCTTGAATATTTACGGTATAGATTTCGAAATGTTTGGATATGATCCAAATGTGTATCAAAGTTACGTTAGAAAATAAATATTGATGTTTAAAATTAAATATAGGTATTTTGTTATTTATATTAATTTATTACACGAATATTTAGTAAGTTTCATACTTACTTGATAGCACGGTAAGCAAAAAGATGTAGTCACTGAAAGTAATGAGGCCTGATGATCCAAGTTTGTAGAAAATTGAATCTTCATCTAGGTCGAGATTCAAACGTTGAGTGATGCTCTGTCAATAGAGAAATTTTTAAATAAAAAAATTGTATCTGGTTTTTATGAATCAAAGCGGTATTTCGAAACTAATTACAGCAAGATTTAAACTAAGTTATAATAAGTATATGATGATAATGGTCTAATGTTTTGTGTCACCTAAAGAAATCAGAATAACATAATTTGGTGTTATTAATACTACTGTTTAAAAGTGGTCAAGCTTTTACTAATCGCAAATTTCACAAGATATTCCTATGAAAAGCGTTTTGTACTACATTTTGTTTATTGTGAGCCAGCAGAGCGGTATATATTAAAAGAAACTACTAAAGACATAGATAATACACTGATGACTAAAGATATTATTGAAGTGGATGGTTTTGAAAACTATAGCATTGTGAACTAAACTAGGTATTTATGGAAAAACTATGGCCAACTGGTAGATAACTCATCAACATAATATGATGCACTAATAGAAAATTTACAGTTTGAAGAGCAGTACAGAAACAAGGAAAGGAGATAGACAGTACCTCATCGACATTCTGAAAAGACAAGAAAGGGTTGTGAGTGGCGAAAAAGATGGTGCTCACAGTGCAAGTGTTAAATTAACAAAATTATTTAGTCATGTTGTGTAAAGAGAATAAATGCAATTTATCAATTAAGGATAGTATTATGTGCCTTACATTCATTAAGTGTAATATATATTTTAATGACCGAGCTGCGATTTTCTCTTGTCTTGTGGGTACTGGTAACACACATATGACACAGCAACAAGAAAACTTAAACCACGAGTACAAAACATCTTTAAAAAAAATACTGTTACAGAACCCAGTGGTACAGTGCTAAGGCCCATGCCAATGTGATGATCGCTTACCACTTTTATTATCAGAAACCAACTACACACTACACAATGATATTACATATTATTGTTTTTACCTAAAAGAGTTTATTTAATGTATGAGATTTTCACTTTTCATTATCGTAAAGATTCTATGCCTGAGCTGAAGTGGTTACCAGATTTAAAGAACTCAATTTTGTGAATGTCCCTGCCCACTTTAATATAATCTCGAAGTTTCAACTGCATTGTTACAACAGCTTTCTACCATTCAATATGAAACATTTGATCGTTTATCACAGACAGGATCCTGGTAACCTAGTTGTGTGAGCTTGCGACATATTGTATAAGGACTTGATATAGCAATTACTGGTTTTGAATTCTTCTTTTTAGAGTAACCGAACTCTCTAAGTTATTATAAAAATAACTTATACGAATGTATGATAAGGTAGATGTGGTATTAATTTGCGGATGGCATTATTGCATACTTGTATTACTAAGATCCTCTCTCTGAACTTATTTCCTGTAACTTGTTTAGTTGCAAATGTTAAAATATGTTAGTTTAAAGAAAGCTGAAAGTGAATATAAAATTGCTCACCTTTGGGTCATATCTACGGTACTGATCTAAGCCCAAACCTGTTTAATAAAATTTTCAGATTAATGTACTTTTTACTATCATAGATGTGGAGTTAGGCTGACAGCCTTCTTGTTGTTAAGTTGTTAAGCCTACAGAGACCACAGTGTGAATATTACAATGTTGAGACACAAGGTCATATTTTCAATTGCATTAATTGTACGAGGTTACCACAGTGTATAAATTTTATGTGACAGAAATAGGCAGGATGATGGTACCTATCTGTGGGTGCTCAGAATACTTACAGGAGTTATGCCAATATTTCAAATTTCAATTTTTATTTTATAAAGAATATGTGTTCAAATTAATATGCAATTCAAAGCAAGTGATTTTACTATTCTTAAAAATGAAAATAGTAAGATATTAATTTCAAAAGCTCTTTCTTCATTCTTACTCCTATCACTTTCGTTTAAAAACAAAAGCCATTTATAGGATATTTTTAAAGCTTCAGTTTACCATCAGGTTGTTTAACACCAGGAGTCATGGAACGTAGGAAATCATCTGGGGTCATGAAAACTTCATGCTGATCATGGTGTTGTGCTTGTAGGGTAGCAAAATAACGAAATACCTTGTCTGGTGTTGAATACTGACGCATTCGATTCTCATATTCGATGATCTATCCAGCAGCGTCCACAGAGAAGTTTTTTTAATTAATGTCATCACTTTTTTATTTTTAGCAAATCAATAAAATAAAAAATAAAAATCTAAAAAAAATATATAATACCATCTGGTTGCTTCATGCCAGGAGTAATAGCTCGTAAAAAATCATCAGGTGTCATGAGAATTTCTGTATGATCCCCATGAGTCAATTTTACAGTAGCAAAGTATCTAAATATTTTATCAGGAGTTGAATAAGACCTCATTCGATTTTCATACTCTATGATCTGAGAAATGTTAAAATAAAGAAAAACAATAAAATAAATAAAAGCAACAAAAAGCAAGACAAAAATTATAATTCATTTTATCATTTCAAAATTCAAACAAGAATCACAGAAATCACTGATTAACATAGTATGGCCTTACAGGAATACAATTTTAGCATGATTAAAGGTACTATTTTATCTTTGGTAATAGTTTAATATTTTTACCTTACGATCTCTAAAGCCAACTTTCTCCTTTCTGTATCTTTTTTTCTTTGTTTCAACATCACTATCAGAATTGGATTGTTGTGATATTTCTTCAGCAGCAACTATTGACGGAATTACGTTGTAATTTATCCTAAAATATATTTCTCATTTTTTTATTTTTTTTATTAAACAGTAGTAGTAGTGTTTTAGGGAAAATATTTACCAGAATTTGTAAGTAACATAAGCGGTTGCTCCCGTTAACAGCGAATAGAGCCAAAAGGGATTCTTCCTCGTTTTGTAGTCAACATTATTTTGATAGTTAAAGTTGCGCTTAGTGGAATTATTAAAAGCTTTAGGAATAATTTTATTACTTCCTAATACTGTAATTTTCCTTAATGTTGTCAATTGTCCTGATATCTTAACAACACTTGTGCTTAAAGTTAACATCTCGGTTCTATTTTTAAACCATCGAACATTTAGGAAGGAGATCAAAAATAATTTTTAAGGTGGGTAGGGTATTTAGAAAATACAACAAGGTTGACAGGTGTTGGGTATTGGTAGTAGTAGTCGTTTTATTTTCCAAATGGAAAGGCAAAGATATCATACCATAAGGCTTAATCTTTATTTTTTTATATTTTTTATGAAATATGATATTATGAAATAAATTGAAGTTGATTAATATGAAACATGCCATGAAATGAAATGAGATGAGATGATATGGTATGGGATGAAATATAATCTCAGTAAAATAGTGGTCATTTACTGATATTTTTTCAGTGGACTTTTTGGAGGATCCCGAGAAGTTACGTCCAGCGGGTTTATATCATTTTCCCACATTTGTGCACTTTCACAGATATTAAACAGTTAATAAAGCACCGTTATTACCTGCACATTTAAACCTGAAGAAACATTAAATAGACAAAATAAAACAAATCACACAACTTCACTCTTCGCGTTCCCGCCAAAAAGGTCGGGGGATTGGTAAATTTATAAATTTTATTTTCCGTTTTATTTATATACAGTCAAACCTGGGTACGTGAGAACTGGATAAGTGAGAAAACTCTATAAGTGAGAATAATAGCCAGGACCCGTCATTTTAAGCTTCCAAAACCTCTATTAGCGAGAAACAGAAACCTCTGTAAGAGAGAGTCGTTTTTCCCTCATGGACCTCCGTAAGTGAGACTGTTACTTATCTATACCTCTATAAGCGACAGTCAAGCTTCATTTATTTATATTATTTAGGAGGAATAAATAACAGAACAAATTACAAATTTTAAATCTGCAATTTTATGACTCATTCTGAACTTTTGTCAAACTTCCTACCATTGTTTTTGTATTGTTTTCTCGTCAATATTGAACTTGTTCTATTTCGTAGAACTAAATAACGTTGTTAATTTATCACATTCTTTTCGATTGGACACGTGTGCCTGTGTCCCGTCCTGTTTGCCGGACTTACTCAGTTTATCGTTAATCAATTGCGAAGGAAAGTTCTGTTCTGCATCATGTCAAAACGGAAAATTAAAGTACTGTCATTAAGTGATAAACTTAAAATAGTGAATGCGTTTGAAAATCGCGAAATGAAATTCAGAGGGAGCATTAGCGAGAAACTCGGGTTAGTGAGAAACCTCTATAAGCGAGAATGAGATTGTGCTCCCTTGAACTCTCGCTTATCCAGGTTTGACTGTATTGGAGAAGCAAAAGAAACCAAACTCATACGCTGTTTTTGAGATGTGATGGCGTTTCATCTTTCAATTAAAGTCAACTGCCAAAAAGACTAACTGTGAAGAGTGAGGTCAACTAGAGTTTTCCCAGGTCTCTTCTAGAATATCCTTGATAGTGGAACGTGAAATTTTGGATGAACAGCGCATCAAAGTAGTCTTTGACGGTTGCTCCCATTTATGCAGATATTCCACAAGGTTTATGTTTGCGCTTACATTTTTCATAAATCAATGAAAGTCCTTTGATGGCATGCATGACGATGCAAATTATATTATAGCACAGGTAATGTGTGATTTACTGGCTATTATTTTCTCAGAGCACGGTTGAAGGAAGACGATTGAAACTTGTGCCTGAAGTTGTAAACTATCTGTTTTAAAATTGGTTGAATTGAGTTTATTTTGAATTTTTTATTTACGTTGTAGCCAAACAAGTGTAAAGCCCTTCTGATAGTAAGTAATCACCGTTGCTTATGGACGTCAGCAAAAATACGAGCATAGCTAAACCGTGGCTCAACCCTAGTACTCTCCTCATACCTCGAATGAATAAGATTATGTCATAGAACTTGGAAAGAGAAGAGAGGGGAAGTTCATTTCAAAACAGAAGAACCTTTAGAAACGCAATGCGAATAAATGCCATGATTCTAGCTACTTTGAATGAATTCTATTCTTGTATTATTTTCTAAATATTTTGTTTAATTATATTTCATTTATTGCACGACATAGTACGTCACGTCACATCTCGTCTTATCTGGTCGAATTCGTAGAACAAATAAAAAGAGAAAAGTGTATTTTTTTAAACTTGTGCTTTCGTGGAAAAAGAAAATTCTTTGTGTTTGACAATGACATATCAATAACTTCATTCATGAGTTTAGACATAGGACTTGACATTGACAATCTGCGACCTTCGAGAATTACCAACGAATCCCGACGAATCAGCAGAGAGCTAAAAGCATGAAATACCTTTAAAAATATCAATCAAAAATTAAAATTAACTGAACCTGGACTGGACTGCTAGACCTTCGTTTTGTTCGAACAGTGTCAAAGGTAAATATAGTGTGAGGTAAAATTGAATGTTCAATTTCAAAAAGCAGTGACATTTGAGAATATAGCAATTTGCATTGAAATAGTTTAGTGAGGTAACGCAATACAGTTTCGTACCTCCGTATAGAAGAGTGTGTTATATAACCTTGAATCACGGGATTATAGTAATGATCATTTCTTTTTGTATATTTTTTTCTTAAATGACGTTATCACGTATGTGAATGTGTAGTGCTAATGTGAAGTTTATTCGGGTCGAATTGTAATACAAACGTGTAGGTTAGGTGTGGGTAAGTCCCAATCAATACTTATGTAGTCTAAATTACTCCGCTATAAAACATATTGATTGACTTTTTTATTCTTAATTTTATCAGTAAAGCTATATGATATAAAAATCATTTGTAATAGAAAGTCTATTCCATGAAAACTTATTGACAAGGTTTCCTTTCTAATTTTAAATTTACACACATTTACCCGTGATAAAATTACGTAGAGTATTGAAAATTGTAGCATATTGAGTTTTGTATCATTTATACCTTCATTATACTAAGTAATAGTAAAGTAAAAACTTCAGTGATATTTAGCTATTAAGAAAATATGATTTATTTACTTAAACAAGGAAACCTGAAATATATTTGCTACAGAACAAATATTTAAATAAATAAAAAAAAAATAGCAAAATAATTTTGGTGCATTTGCTTTTAAAATAAATTATATTCAATGTCTACAATTGATTCATGAGTTTTTCATAATATCATCTTATGGTCATAGATATAGAGTATAAATTTTGGATCAATTTGGAATAGACAAAAAATAATAAAGCATAATAATTATTACTATTATTAATTAAGGGGCACCTAAAAAAAAACTAATATGTGTTTACAAAGGTACAATCATTTGATAGCTATGTTACATAAACATTGCAGGTGCCAGTCTTTGACATTGAGATCAATATCATGTCCTAAATAATAAAATTTGTAATGCAATATCAAAAGACTTATCCATAATAGAAAATAATAGATAGATTTAATTTATTTTTTATGTTGTGGAGGTCATTGTCTAGTTGACTAGGTTTTTTTTTTAGTTTATTAAAGTTAAGTAAATGATTTTAATTTCTTTTGTAGTAATTTTTATGGATACATTTTCCATTTCATAAAGGACTTTAGTTCTTGTGTTTAGAACTTGTAGCTGAATACTTCATAACTTTGAATGATATTGATTTTATAGGCAAAAAATATTAAATTTATTGAAAGTTTTGTGTTGAATGAATTCTTCCAAAATTTCATTACAGTATTATGATATATGAGTCGTCTATTATCAAAGGTGGCAATCTGTGCATTTGGACAAAAAAATTTTATTGATATGTCAATACAGATTGATTTGAATATAATCGTCTCCTTCAAAGAATACGGTTCAAAACCTGCATTAAATAAAGGTTAATACTTAACCTGTTATTTATCTAAGATGTCGTTCAGAAGAGTTTTGTGACTGCCAATGGAATACAAAGTCAATAATTGTCGAAAAGTCACATTGCCGGCTTTGATAATAGTCGACTCATATGTTGTTTTGATTCTAACTTAAGTTTTTCGCTTGAATCAGTACAATATTATTTAATGTTTGAAATATTATATTTCTAGTTTTACATTGTTGTCTCTTTGTTGTGTGTAGAGATTTATCATAATTGACAACATTTACTATTTTTAGTAAGAAGGTAAATTAACAATTAAATTAGCTTTTAAATACACAAATGACTGTTATATGAAGGGAATGAAAAATTAAAAGTTTTGTGCTCGTAAGTTCTGTAAATAAATATCAAAGAAAAGAATTGCTTTAATACTGTGTACCCCAAAAGTATTTAAGTTCATTGTTAAATCTAGAATCTCTTATTGAGCTTATTCAAATCGAAAGTCATGACAAGTAAAGTACTACTAACATATAAGAATATATATTTTATGAAGAATATATTTAATAGCTATTCTGAAAAAGATGCAAAGAAAAAATAAAAATTTTATTGTACACAGGTCTGACACACCAGGGGGTCACAACAAACAACAATCATGCATCGAGCAAGGATAGTGTTTAACATCTCTAAATCTGGCCAAAGTGAGAGATTTGCATCATGGCTCCTAAATAAACCACAGGTATGAATATTGAATGTAATTTAATGTAAATAGTTGTATTATTATATTTCTTTATGCATAACAGATAGACTAGAGATTTCTAAGTAATAATGATTACTTTTATAAAGAACTAATAACATTTGACTTGTCATTTAAAGATACAGTTTTGTTATGTGTATGCTATTAATCAAATAATACAGAAATGTATTAATTTAAACTATCTTACTGAATATAAGTTATTAAAATTTAAAATTATCTTACTAAATATTTGAGAACAAAATTCAGCAAGCGCAGAAAAAACTATAGAAGCTAAATATATGAAGTTTAAGTTGTCATTCAGGTAATACTTATGAACTAGAACTATGTGAAGTCGTCATGGCCTAAAGGATACGACTTCCGGTGCATTCATGTTGAGCGATGCACTGGTGTTCTATTTCTGCCGTGAAGCAGTAATGCGTTTTGGTTTGAAGGGTGGGGCAGCCCTTGTAACTATACTTGAGACATTAGAACTTATATCTCAAGGTGGGTGGCGTATTTAAGCTATAGATGTCTATGGGCTCTAGTAACCACTTAACACTAGGTGGGCTGTGAGCGCATCCACCCACCTAAGCAAAAAAAATGTCTATGGGCTCCAGAAATCACTTAACACCAGGTGGGCTGTGAGCTCGTCCACCCATTTAAGCAATAAAAAAAATAAAAAACTAAGAATGTTTAAAAAAAGTTATGTAATGTTGAGTTCTTATAATTACAGATTTAAATGTGTAAAACGATTTGAATAACAAATACCTTTAATAATAGTTTCAGTGTGTAAGCAGCAGGTTCAAGGGAACTTTGACCTGTGTAGTTAACCTTGTTAAATTTATTGTCTCTGATTTTGTAACCATTATTATAGTTTTGTGGATGATAAGTCATATTTTGTCATGGAATTAACGCATAAAATCAGACTCTAAATATAATAATATTGAACTGCACATGCGTTGGTATTAAGACTCAAGACCCTTTTTTATTGTTGCGGAATTCATTTACGGATGCCCAGTCGAGGGGGGTAACGGACCGGGTTATGTCGGACTCCGGCGCCTCGAGATAGGAAGAGGGCCAATGCCCTCCACCTCCATATGGGTTATAATGGTATTAACACCCTGTGTATTTCCATTGTCTTACATGTCATGTGAGATATCAGCCTAAACATTGTGATGTTTATACACTCTGGTAATTGTTGTAATACCATTTGGGCTGTGAGATTGTGTGTCCAACTAGAGCCATAAAAGAAAAGAAACCACAATAATTTATTGATTTGATTGATTGTCCAATAATTGTGATTTCAACGTCATGAAGTCGTTTTTGAGGAACTCACTTGGTCCAGACAATTGAGTAACTCATTTGACTATTGATTAGTTCAGTGTTAGATCTCCACACTATTGGTATTGGGTCCTTGGATGTACTTGTTCTAGTTTATTGTGTCTTTCCGATCCCATAACACTAGAATATTTTTTTACGAGGTTATGTAATAAGACTATAATTTTTTAAGTTTTTTTTTTGTCTTTTATTAATGACACATATATTCGGATGTTACATCGCAACCGGTATTTACTAGTGAGTGCTGAACTCTGTATCTGTATGCATACTAAAATCACGTGAGTCATTCGATACGTCATCGCCGTTTCAAGATTGTTCCTAATCGTGACATTCATTTCAGCAGAATATGTGAGAAATGTGACGATTTGAAGATTTACATTTATTTTATACCGGTGCATGTTGGGCACACGACTTTAATTCGATTTCAAAGCTGCACTAACTAGACCTAACCTAAATTTCGCCATACACCTAGATAAGCCATGTCGAAACCTTGTAGAATTATTGGCTTATTATCAGACTCTAGAAACCAAAACGCATGATTTCTGTGTAGCAGCAAATGTGGGACAGCAATACTAATCTGTGCGGGTTTACAATAGGTTTGATTATTATTAAAAGTAGGTACCTACTCAAAGTGACAAGAGAGATAATTTGCGTTAGGAAAGTTACGACAACTACCACAGACGGATGATTGGGAAATGTAAAGAATAGAGTAGTAATTGAAGAGGCTGGGGTATACTTGTAACCGATATGTACAATGGGAGCGTCCTAAGCAAAATAAGATTTGACCTAAGGGTCTTAGTTACCAGGTCATAAAATCCCTAAATAATAATATGCGAGCATATCACGGTTAAGAAAAAACTTAGAAACCTGTGGCTTTAAATAAACAAAGTGATAATTATGTATCTTTATTCTAATACACAATAATACACATGTATGTTATCTTTTCGTTGTGTATACGTATATATGTATGTTTTATCACGCCGTTGTCTCCCGGTAGTATAATATGTTTATAAAACAGTAGAGATAATGTCTGACTAATATTGTTATTTTCCACATTTTCTAATAGACCTTTTATGAAGTCTCAGACGGATATAAACAATTTAAATGTCTTATTTACATTATAAATATAACATCATTAATTATTATTATGTGTGAAGGTTTTATTGATTTTAAATGGTGTTAGATTTTTATTTATTCATTTTATATTTTCGTGGAAGGCCGGTAATGTTTCGTTAAAACCTACAGTTTTACGGTAGACTAAAGAAAATCTATTTGAACATTATTCGTATCAGACTGCTCCAGGTTTTCAAGTGTATGTAAATATGTGTATTTCATTTTAATGTTCTATTCGTCTTTATTGTGGGTGTATCATAGGTTATAAAGGTGTTTGTAAAGGCTATCAGATAAAAATTAGTAAACAGCAAATTCCGCCATATTATCTATCTATACATTCAAATAAATATAATCAATTATTACATGTATGACGGAGTATTACTTGCGCACATCTCGAATGATTTGGCAATTTTTTTGTGATTATTGTTAATTGGTTTGAACAGGATTTGTATAGCACATTTTTTGGGTAAAACCGCGGGAAAATATAAACATAATTGGTGATATTCACAGCGAAGCGTCACCAGGTTTCGTCGTAGAAGGATGACCTTTGATAATTTGGCTCTCCTATATTTATCAAAACGAAAGTGATCGGTGCAGTAATATAACGGAGATTCGGATCATCTTACATAATTTCCTGAATGTTTTGTTTTCGTCCCTGTATTGTGTAAGATAATAATATTTTAACTGTTATCTTAATACCACCATTCAACATAATATGTAAGTATCTGATTGATAGCATTGATATGCTCTGTTTGATATTGTTGTAATCTGTCTGTATTTTTCAAGGGCAGGCCTTGTTGCTTAAAACCGNATAACGGAGATTCGGATCATCTTACATAATTTCCTGAATGTTTTGTTTTCGTCCCTGTATTGTGTAAGATAATAATATTTTAACTGTTATCTTAATACCACCATTCAACATAATATGTAAGTATCTGATTGATAGCATTGATATGCTCTGTTTGATATTGTTGTAATCTGTCTGTATTTTTCAAGGGCAGGCCTTGTTGTTTAAAACCGTGATTCCTTTTATTTACTAATCACTAGTTGATCGAAACGGATTGAAACGCAAACATTCCACAAGCTAGCATCACTAACTGGCTCTTATATAAGAGCACTTCTGTGATTTCATTACTCGATACTTATGTGTAACTCTGTACGAAAAGATACTCGTACGCGTTTATAATCGAACCTAGCACTAGAAGTTGGATACTTTTTTTCCTTCCTAAGCTGATGGTCTTGCGAGACTATTTCAGCGTAACCTTAACTAGTAGGTGAGCTCACAGGTCTCAAACCGGGAGTGTTGCTAACACTGGCCCTAACAAGAGCAGTGCTTCGCAGAATCTACCACCGGATCGGACGCGACCCACTGAGAAGATCCGGCGAGAGACTCAGTGGGCTGTGTCTGTGGGTTAATTTACTCGTCGAGCTCTTCGTCGCAAGCGACGGGTTCGGCGAGGACGGTGACCGGTGCTTGAGGTACCTAAAAGCACCGTCAGTGGATCGGGAGGATCCGTAATGACGTGCTTAGCGCGACGTCGACTCTTTACCATTCGGTCCACAGGATCGGGTATGAGTTGTATACGCTACACTTTGCATGTTATAGGGTGTAGACGACCAAACGAAGCTTGCGACGAGCGTTTACTGGCGCCTATAGAAATAATATCGTGATTGATGTCGTACGGTTGAAGTTTCTTAACTAGATATTAAACACCCAAACAAAGAGCAAACAAATCTGTTTATGACACGAATGATTGCTCGATATGGGAATTGAATCCATGTCCCTCGTACCAGCAATCAGGGGCGCTAACTACTTGAGAAAATAACCCACTAGTCGCCGACAAGTTTTTAGGAAACTTTACGTTACTATTGTTAGGGCTCGAACAGAAGTGCGGTAGTTTTCTCTTAGTCAAAAAAAAGGTGCGCGTGGAACTTTGTGCACGTGAAAGAAGAGAAACTTCTTTTGCGGTGTGTAATATTGCGGTTTTCTTCATTTTTCATTCTTAAATCAAATTTCTCATGTAATCGCTGTGTAAAGAGAAACAACCGAGCTCGCTTTCTCCCTCTCTCTAGGATCCAGTGGTTCACGAGATGCTCTGTCTATTTTCTCACTCTCGCCCTTCCTAAATTGAATCTTTTCTCTCGGCTAGAGATAGCCGTAACGTTTCTGTCGCGAATTAAATTTTACTCTCAACGCGCCTAAAGAAGTTTCACTTCAAAAAAATAAATCTATCCTTTTTTCGACCGGAACCTCATTTCTATGAGCTTAGAGATACGGATTCATTGTTCCGATCGATCAATTAGTACGCGTAGTGCGTAGTGCGTACGTAGATATCGTATAATTACGTAGAAATCAGTTACTAATTGCGCCATATGACCTCGCTATCAACGCCGTGACGAGACAGGACGAGCCCCCGTACAAAAAGATAAACCGTGCTCCGTTTTTCTTTATCAAACACTCGTGTTTATTGAGCACATTATTTCTTTGCTTTTATTTCACAGCTTGCTGCTGTATTTCTACTCTTGTAAATATGAAAACGTTTACGCATCGTGATGTTGTAGCAAATGTTTTTTATCGGTGCATTAACAACGCTTTTACAATAATATTGTGGTATTTGTAAAACATCTGTGGCGGTAGCCATCACAGATCACAAGATATTTGACAGATTCTTGAATCTCTTACGACATTTTGAAGATAAGCTTGCATATATATATATAAGTTCCGAACAAAAACATTCGGATCGTCGCTCTGCCGAGCAAATATCACCCGCTCGGTGGAAGATCTTCCCTTTGTCGTATACGTACACATCCAAAATTGGCATTTAATAATATACAGGGAAAATAGTTTTTGGAAATGAAATGCTCTGTTTACGCATTTCGATTTGGCTGACTAGTTGAAACTGCATTGTTTGATTGGATAAAAAGATGAGCGTTATACGCCCACACGTCATAAGGAAGCTTGCGCAAACCAAATGAATCTTGTTCGCGCACATAAGGAGATCCCGACAAAACCAGAATTTGTGGGTCAAATCTCCACTAATTCTGACGACAGCATAAAACGAAGCGGCCAAAGGGCACGCCGAAAAAGAAATTTTCATTATAAATTAAAATTGTTTGTACTAATTATAGGGCGCAAGGCGTAAGTTGATGTTTCGCAAATATAGAGAGCTAAACTCTCATCTTATTTTGGGTTAATCAATATTTTTATGAAAGTATACCAATATCTTTGTTATCATCAAATAATCGTAGAATGTTTGTGATTTTGTTTAATAAAATTCACATACATAACGAATAATAATCGGTAAGTCGGAATAAAAAAAAGAACAAACAGTGCGAATTTAAACCGTAAAATGTAGTTTTAATTATAACACCTGTTAACTTGTCCGCGTCGTGTAATTATTAAATTAGTAACGGATTAAATTTTCGTGCTAGGTTACATAATTTGAAAGAACTCGATATTTGTATTAAAATCGGTTGTGTTCACAGTAAGACAGTCATATTTGCAAGTAATAATATGTTATGTTAAGTAAGTTTTTATTTATTTCTTTGATGGGGCAATGAGATCATGGCCCACTTATCGAGAAGTATGTGTGCTTAGTGCGTGTTTTATAACGTTTTCGGTAACTTAAAAGTTAACTCAAATTTGTATGTAGTTGGAACAGCGGCCCTAGCGGCAAAGGTAGGCCAACGTTCCTACTCCATACAAATTAGAGTTAACTTTTACGCTATCGAGAACGTTAAAAAATTACGCACTAAGCATACTGAACGTAAAAGTCGTTATATATGAAAATTAATAAAAATATATAATGCCCGTTCAAGTCTACAAATCGGAACGCATGGGTGCTTCGCGGCAGAAATAGGTGTACCTACCTACAAGAGTGGGCGTACTACTATACTCCTTACTACTAAAATGACGCATTTTTTTTTATTTTGCTAGTATGATTACTATAACACTATGTTATTCCTTCACGGTGGAAATCATACATGATCATGTATTAATACGTATTTCCTTAGACGTACAATTTGCTTGATTAACGCCAGGCGTCTTATCCTTTATGTAAACGCTGCCCTTCATTGTTGCAGACTGCCGCGGTTTCAGTAAATGCCAATAGGCTGAAGAGCTCCACCGCGGCGGAACCCTTCCTCAATGGCTCCAGTTCAGCTTACGTCGAGACTATGTACAATGCATGGCTCGCAGACCCAAACTCGGTACACGCGGTAAGTACTTTGAATTAATTGAACTTTTGTAAATTGTGAATTCTTCTGCCACAAAGAGACCTGTCTGCTTAGCGTGAGTTTTTTAACGTTTTCGATAACGTAAAAGTTAACTCAATTTTGTATGGAGTTGGAAAGTTTTCCTACGTTTACCGCTAGGGGCGCTGCTCTAACTGCGTACAAATTTGAGTTAACTTTTACGCTATCGAGAACGTAAAATACTCGCACTAAGCACATTGGTTCGAATATTATTCATTTAATTAATGTTTGAGGTTAAAATATCATTTGCACTGAAATAACGATGACGTATTGTGGCTGTTGAAAAAAGTGTGTTTACTTCTAACATTAAATATTTGTAGAAATTGTTATTGGAAATGTACCTGAGTAAATTTCTTGGTTCACATTCTGGAAAGTACATAAAAAAATGAGTGGGAGGTAGTTAGAATTTAATGTTGATCTCCCCTAGCACGTATAGAAATAACCGTTTTCACTGAAAATTTCTTGTAATTCATTCAGCAATTCCAATAAAACATATATTATTTACAGTACACAATAAATATGTGTTTTAAGACAACATTGTATTAGCTACTTTGAATTTTCGCGATCATAATATTTTGTTATTTGTTATTCACTGAAAGTGCTTTATTTTAAATATTAAAAAATTTCGTAGGTTTTATTAGTTAGTAATATCATCATATTACTAGTTCAGTCTCTCTTATATCACTGTTATGCGTCGTCTGTTCGAACCTACCTTACCTATTCAAACCTAAACGTTAGGAACCATAAAATTTATAAAAGTTAAAAGATTTTGCTTCGTTATCTATTAAATAGATATGTAACGATACATCTGTTTATCCTCATCTACAATGGTGTACATGGATTATGTTAAAAATTCTACACTTTTTACCATCGTAAACAGACCGATGAACTAATCACTCTGAATTTAAACAATTGCTAGTGTGGAGTCCATGAGTACTTGCATGAACGCTGTCATTTGCTACATTTTAATAATATGTGGTACATAACCCTTCAGACCGAAAATAATACAATAATTGCGGTAAAAATGCACAGAACTCGTATAGGTATATGACACAATGTATATAATATAACTAAATAATCTTATAAAAACAACCATAACTAATAAAATGAACAACCATTACTAATAATGAACAAATTATTGCTTTGTAATTTATCAGTTTTGGTAAATAGAAAACTAAAGCAATGAGATAATTATTAATTTTAATTTATTAATTTATTACACTTCATGTAAAATTTACATTGGCGGACTTAATGCCTAAGGCATTCTCTACCAGTCAACCAAAGGTAGTGCAGAGTAAATAGTGGTAGGTACAATGAAATTTATATTAGGTAACGAATACATACAAAAAAAGTATATCTACATATATACAAAATCACATATACATATACATACATACATATATACACACAAACATACATATAATAGTTTATACAGTATTAAAAGGAATTATCTTGCTAATAATAACCACTCGAACACAATGAAAAAGGTATTGAAATAGTTTGTAGGATAAAGCTTGTGGTCGACAAACACTCGTATCGATTTCTTGACGTATCAAAGGAATTTTAATTCAATAAAACGAAAATACTACTCATCTGCGCTGTTAGATTTCAATTAAGGTTAATAACTTTTGTAGTGTATTGGATTAATGCATTCGGGCAGGACCTCTTATTGGACAAATACTTTAATCAAACCATGTACTTGTATGCAATTGTTAATAATTATGGGTGCTATGATCAACCGATGACACCGTGAATTCAAGTAATCACAGTAAACGCGTACCAATACATTTTTTAAGTGTTTGTTTCAATTTCCTTATTGCGAATACAATTAGTTGTAACAAGAAATACCAGTAGTTGTATTTTGAATATACGTATCGAGTAGTCATGTGATTCCGTTGCTAAAGCAGTGTGTGTTGTGACGTAAAAATAAAAATAAAAAATCCTTCGAACTTCTACGTTGTCATCATGAGTATCACGTTTTGAATATGAATTTCGTGGTCTAGCAATTTACAATCGGTTACTAATTCGCAGACATTAAGGTAATCGATTTGTACTTTAATCCTCGGTTGAAATGTTATTTTTAAATGTCCAACAAGTCTTTGTTGTGCAAGTTTTATATATTTTTTTATTGCTTATATTGGTGGACGAGCTCACAGCCCACCTGGTGTTAAGTGGTTACTGGAGCCCATGGACATCTACAACGTAAATGCGCCACCCACCTTGAGATATAAGTTCTAAGATCTCAGTATAGTTACAACGGAAACGCATTACTGCTTCACGGCAGAAATAGGCAGGGCGGTGGTACCTACCCGCGCGGACTCACAAGAGGTCCTACCACCAGTAATTACGCAAATTATAATTTTGCGGGTTTCACTTTTATTACACGGTGTTATTCCTTCACCGTGGAAGTCAATCGTGAACATTTGTTGAGTACGTATTTTTTTAGAAAAATTGGTACCCGCCTGGGATTCGAACACCGGTGCATCGCTCGACACGAATGCACCGGACGTCTTATACCTTCTTAGGCAACGACGACTTCAAAAGTTCTCTTAATAACGGTGTAAGCGATCAAAAATCTTATACGAATACAAAATACTCCTGGCAGTCATGCGATTGCGTGATACAACAGCGATTTTATTAAGTATTATGTAAGATATTTTATTGTTGATCGCAGTCTACGATGAAAGTACATTTATAAATGGACGGTTTTATTCATGATTTATTCCATTGTTTTTTTTTATATATTTATTATATAACCAGCTCACCTTGACACGATTTTGAAGTAGCATTATCTTACCCACCTTTTTAATATAAACAAAACGAACGTTCTTTTCTGTGTCTCGACAGGTGATGGGGCCGAATTAGGGTAAGCCAGTGCCACCCTCACCTCATTGCCTGTCACGAAACGTTGCAAAATCGACAGAGCGGTTATTTAGCGTATTAAACTCTTCAAGATAACACCCCACGGTCGCGGCCACACAGCCTAATCGTGGGCGATAATTTGTCGGTTTCAATTCCCGTCACAAAAACGCCACACAGAATGAACACATGCGGGATCACTGCATTCCACACAATCCGTAAGCCCTTTTCGATTGTTGCCGTTACGTAAACATTTGGGCTTGTAGGTTGGAAAATAGTCTTACTAATGTTTTCGATAAATTGACTTTACTTAAGGTGGACGGTGATTGTGACATTATATATAGGCTGACGTTGGATCGATTGTTACAAGGAGCCTATTATTATATTATGGTTCTCACAATCCAGTTGTGCTGTGAAAATAATGCATCGATAGATCAGAGTCAAACTGTTTTGAAACAAAATTCAGTGCCAGTTTCAAACTGTAATATCATAATTTGAATTCGTTTGGAAATTATGAATTTATGATTTGAAATTATGAATTTTGAATTTGGAAGACTCGATTCCAAAATAGAAAAAATATTGTCAAACATGTTGTTGTTAAATGGGAATGATAGTATGCAGTTTTCTGAGAGGAAAAAAAGTGTATATTACAAACTTTATTACACCTTTTATGTGATGTATCATGCCACTGATTATATAACTCTTCTCTGTCTATCAATATAAAAAATAAAAGAACAAATCACGCGAATATTGTCTTTAAAACCACGCTCTATAATCTCATTGTTAGTACGTACATATATCTACCGCGTACAATATACTTCGAGGACGTTGTATTTTGTTTTAGAAGTTTTCATGTGTTGCTACAAAGATTTTTCGTTTTAATTATATAGGCGACTATGTAATTATCTAGTACTGACGTCACCAGCATTCGGCGTCAGCTATGCTAACTCTATTACGTGTTTGCACACCGGTATGTCAACAAAATATTTAAAAGATCTGATGAGATGTAGAACAACATTGATTACTTTAATATTCTGTAACAAGCGAGGTTAAGGGAACAGCAGTTATTAAGATCGTACGGTTTAAAAATATTTGCTCTCTAGTATCTGATTCAACAAAGCAAAGGGCAATTATTTGGTATGGATTTAAATTGGTCGTTATATGAATATTCAAATTGTAGATATGAAAAGTTCGCTAGTATGTAGTATCACTTATTATATTATGCTATAATTATGAAAATAAAATTAAGAGTAATCGAGAAACAAACATTAAAATGAATAGCAGTGAACAATAATTTTACTCTGGGTCTATCGTTAAAGCGATAGTTTTAAAATTATTAATCCACAAACAATAAAAGACAAATTATAATAGTTATATAGATAAACTTCGCTATTTGACCCGTTAAAGCAATAAATAAAAAAATCAACACATTTGTATCGTAATATCGATCGTTAATTGAATCCACGCATTGCAGTCTTGGGATGCATTTTTCCGCAATGCGACAAACGGAGCTCAGCCAGGCGCCGCATACACGCCACCGCCCAATCTCGCGCCATACAACAAGAACGAGGTCCCGCTCACATCGCTCGTGCCATCTAGCGGCGGAATGCCTTCGATTTCAGCAGGTAAACGAAATATTGGTTAATTATATATGTGTAAATAAATATGTAACTATACTTGAGACCTTTTAGAACTTATGTCTCAAGGTGGGTGGCGCATTTACGCCGTAGATGTCTATGGGCTCCAGTAACCACTTAATATCAGGTGGGCTGTGAGCTCGTCCACCCAACTAAGCAAACAAAAAAAAGGTTTTTACTATTGTGTTATTGGATAACCCATAGGATCTCGTGTTCAGCTGGTCAACCGCTGTTCTGTCATTCCAATCAATACATTCGCATTTCTTGCCGATACAATTGCTTGCTTTCATTATATTCTTTTTGATACAAATTAACATAATTTATAGTAAAAAAAAATTGGAAACCAACTTCAATAGTGAAACGCAGCAAACTACTGAACCTATTTACATTAAATGTTCTTTAAAATAATAATGATTCAAACCAGTTTATAATTGATAGACATCTGGCGTAATAACCAAAAATACAACCGAATTGAGATTCTCATCCGTTTCCTGGAAGCAGTCTATTGAGTCAGTCAGCAAAAAAAAGTTGTGACGGTGTTCAGAATTTGTATACCATTAAACGGTTTTTAATAAAAGCTACGTAACAACGTCATTCCTATTCAAAGTCGTAGATAATTTTTTGGAATAATCTACCCATGTTCTCTGGAAGGTGACGTGTCTAAGTAGGTTTTATTAATGTCCTAGGTTCCCCTATAAACGAGAAGATAATCGACGATCACCTCGCCGTGCAGGCTATCATCAGGAGTTACCAGGTGAAATATGTTTTATCTTACACACACATTTATTCTACGTTAATTTATTGTTTGCACTTTATATGCAAACACGTATCCACACGCACACCGCAGCTGTTGTGTTGCTATATGTTTTATTGTTTTAAATGTTAAAAGTATATCATCGGTAATAAGTGTTGTGAAAGATTAGCTTTTTCGCTTCACAGGAAAATTAAGATTGTTGTTTTATCCATCTGTTTCGTTAGTCACAATAACGTGATGTCAATTTGCATTTATATTGAGTAAGTTTATTTGGGCCTTGTAAATCATAATATTGTTTTAGATAACGCTTTGAATTAGAACGAATTTCGAAATTTACATAATCGGATTACTTGTCAGTGAAAAATGTAATAATAATAGTAATTCGATTGAACGTGCACAGCGAATCTGGACACACAAAGCCTCAATGCGGCTACAACGTTTATCCCAGTCATTTTAAACGATCTAGCGATGTTGTTTCGCATAAAAAAAGTAAAAAAGTTGAGCGTTAATTACTGAAAGTTTTATTTTGCCGTTGTCGGGTGGAACGGGGATAGCGAACCGGTCGAATTTTTTAATGCGTCGAAATGAGGGTATTTCAACAATATTTTCAACTTTGAGAAGCCTGAGTCGCTTTTGTTAATGCTGCGTATGTGTTCTATAAAAGTAGTATGCCAACAATTTAAAATTGTTTGTTGGCACAACGCCGCCGGTATTTATGATTTGATGGAAAAAATAATACCGAGGCAACAATAAAAAGGTTCGCCATCCCTGTGATAGAATGTTGGGCGATCATACTGAAGTCGCTAGGTCGTATGATAAATTATATAAGATGACTTGGTGGCGGGTGCGTGACAGGCTCGCGGTCACCTGGCGGCCGATGTGGACCCGCTCGGCATCACGACGGCCACGCTTCCGGAACTGGGCATGCGTGCACCAAGTTCAGAGCTCATCATGAGGAAATATTTCAATTTCGGTACGCAAGGGATACATACACGTGAACATGTACCCGGTCACGGATTAAATCATATGCGTATAATATTAACCGTGTATTTAATTAATCGCATTATACATTCATTGCGTATCACTGGTTGTTTTCAATAATGGCGATGTTATATCACACATGCGTAATAAATATAAAAAACAATATTGCCTTAATAGTGCACTTTGTTGGAGTTCTGCAGCGTTAGAATCATTTGAAATGAACCGAAATTTTCTTTTTTATGTTGGATTCGTCAAATAACAATTATTCGACAAAGACACGAAGTTTAGAAGTCATGTGTGGGATAACGTTGGCTGAGAATGGATTATTTTTTTTGCAAGTTTTCATTTTAGCGAGATGCGTACCAAATAATTATCGTATTAACAAATACATTAATCACATTATTATCTGAGACTTGGTGATGAGCTCATGACAATTTTTATTAAAACAAGGAACATAATTACTAAGTAGACCGATTACAAAAATTGCTAGTCTCAAAAAAATGTATTTAAATAATTTATTTTTTTATTATGTTTTCTATGTTGTACGTTTAATATACTAGCTTTAAACACGCCACGAATATTGGAGTTATAGTTGTATTTTCTCTTTATTTTCAGTAGTACCTACCTATTTTAATCTATCTAAAACTACGTTTCTGCAATCCTTCGAATGTTAATTTAACATAAGTGTCTGGTTTAATTAATTAAAACATTTTACTAAATGTATGCTTAGATATGACTAAAATAATTCTCTCAAGATGGATGGATGAAATTGTTTGAAACGAATTCATAATGTAGTAGTTTTTCGATGTAGTCGAGGGGTCATCTTGTGGCGCAACTTGACCCGTTGGGAATATCGACCGGGGATCCGGTGTCGAGCGCTGATTGGCACGGCGGCATGCGAGCCTTCGCTAACGAAGCTGTCATTAGACAACACGTGAGATTTGGTATGGACCGTTCAAGATCTCGTACACTCGCAATTGACGATTAGCTGAATGTCAACTGGCTACCAGTAAACGTGATACCGCCGGTATTACATTAATCGGATTAATCGTCATTAATGCAAAAGTTATTGCTTTTTTATCGTGACGTTATTGCTGCAGTGGGGATTAGTTTTATCCAATGACTTTTGTGTGGTTATTGTATTTTTTTTGTTTTGAAAACTCGATTCGATTCAATCCAGTTTACGTTTACGTTGAACGATCAATATGCGATATTTTCTTCTAAATCGTCGGCTGGAATAGGGTTCTTAGCTTCGGCTTCACAGGGTATTCCGAAAAGCACTAATTCTATCTATTGGCTGTGAACGGAGATGCATATGCCGACTTTATTTACTACATATATTAGTAATGCTTATATTTTTTTGGTGCTTGGTAGAAAACAAATTGGTAGATTTAAAATGTTATATTTTCTGTTTAAACGAGGTGCTTGGGTAGTATTTGTTTTAGTTTATAGTACCTACAGTCAAATGTTTCGTATACTTTTTTTACCTTTTTTATTTTATTTTAATTTCAACGTTGTTCTTTTGAAGTATATCAAATTTAAATTTACCAAATAAGTGTTCCTTTGAAATTGAAATTTCTAATAATTGAGACTAGCTGTTTAAAATATGCGGTCCTTAACCTCCATTTTTTTAATGTCATTAACGTAGGTACATATGTATATAGAAAATTTTATGTATCTGTAATATTAACAATTTTAATTGTAACATACTACATAGGTTGTAGAGCATTAAATTAAACAAAAATCATATTCCTTTACTAGAAATTGTGATGTGTACAAAATGTTACTGATGGTAAGTTTCGCCATTGGAACGATTTAGGCAAGAGTCGATTGAAAATACACTGTAAGGTAAATAGTTTTATATGTGTAAGGTTGCAAGTAAAGCAGACAATTTAATAGGTAAACGTGTTTTTCGAGTTATATGTAAATTAACGTTCGAGGAAAAATATGGTTTTTTTTTTGCACAGCGATCGAGATAATGGTTATATGAGTGTGATGCTTCATGGTTTTTCTTAATCGCTTTTGTGTATTGTGTAACTCACATCCTAAATTTTCTGGTATTTAATATACGCACAGAAAGGCCTAGTACTTTTTTATCGTAAACTCACACTTTGTCACGAAGTGTTCGTAACAACGCCTCGCTTCGTCCTCAATACGTTACTAAGCAACATGTGTACGAGTAGCCTTTCGTTAATAACAATTCCCGCGTAATCTCTTGTTCACTTGGTCCCTTTTTGTTTTGTGCAAATTAAAGTTACGATTAATCGAATAGTCCTGTAGTAACATCAAATGATATTAAAATGAATAAACTAAAAAAACAGATCCGGGGACATCATGTAGCGAAACTCGATCCGTTGGAGATTGCGAACTACGATTTGGGCGGTAAAAGTCCCACTGAAGTGATACACAACAGCTACAGATTTGGTAAGGAGGCGGTAGTATGGCGGAGTATGGACGCTCGATGTACCTCATGAATTGATGTGGTTATGGCGGGACAGTATAGTTATTATTATATTCTCTGGGCGTTTTCGTTCCGCGGGGTTTTAGGCATGATTTAAAACACTTTATTTATTCGTTTGTATTGCTCGCAATTTTCAATGTCGCAACGAATTTGAGAACGATATAAACGCGATATTAAACCGGAAAAGTGTTTTTAATCAAAACTTATTTATCGAGTCTATCATGTAATTTTCAAGAATTAATTTAAGAGTACGAAGAAATGTTTTGAAGGTTCAAATTGAAACGCATGTTGGTAAACATGTTGTTCGAGAATTTACGAACGAGTTTCAACGTGACTAACGCTCTGCTCGATTCTGAATTTTTCTTTCCTGTTAAATCTAGTTTTGTTAATGCCGAAAGGAAAAAGTAAATTGTCTTGTACCGCTATTCAGAATCAAAGTTACATAATGGACTCCATAGTGTTTGAGTAAAAGCGATAAATGTTATCTTTTCTGACTGTGCGATACTGGGTGTAATTATAGAATGACTTTTCAAAATTAGCGTTTAGCATTTATGTTGCGTTCGACAACAACAAAAATAAAATGCCATTCTGAATCCGATTTAATCACTAAACCAGCGATTGTTTGAATGTTAATAACACTGCGAGCCATAACTACAGAAGATCTATCTCATTTGATGCTGGTAGTGCACGCGGTTTCGCTAGCACGCTCATTTTAATCTATCAAAGCCCTCAAATAATAGTTTCCCCTACTTTTCTGGTTATTACCTAATTTCTCTTTTCCAATGTATGTGCCATACCTTATTTTGGTAAAAACGTTATCAGATTTTGAGACGTGCAACTGTTGTTTATCGAACGCAGGGCTTTAATCGATTAATATACTGTTGGTTTGACATTGCACGAATTTTGCATGTACACGTGTGTGTTTCGACACAAACACCAATTGCATGGTTTTAGAAGAAAAACAAATTGTCTTGTCTATCGAAACAATCGAAAATAAAATCGTTTTATTCCGACATTGACTTATGAAACGCAGTATGGTAACGTCTGTATATGAATAGCACACCTACATTCTGTCAGCATTGGATCAGAGCCAGGGGTCATCTCGACGAGGATAACATTGGAACATCGAATTACGTCAGTGTTTTTTTCATCACGGGCTCGATTGCGCTTCGAAATCGATTAAGTTTTAATATCGAAGCTATGGTGTTGAAAATCGATTATATTTTATTTAATGTTGTTAATTTTGTGATGATTTCAAGGGCTTCGTATGGTATTACATAAGGTTGCGGGGGTAGTATGTCAGAGATGTTAGAATGTCTATTTGGGTTGTATCTTTATCAAAAATAGGCTGAATCGTTATAAGCACATGTATTGGTTGTTCTATTTTCCTTCAACTGAACTAGTAAAGGGATATGATATCATTTCAATATGCTTTTCATGTGCTTCCTTATGAACTATACGCTTTTTTTTTCAATATCATGCATTTTGGTTTATACTTTTAGAGATTATTTGAGAGATGGTGAGGGAATTTTTAGTCATGATAATTAATTCGCTTCTGTTCTATGAAATAGCATAGGATATTTTCTTTTGTTTGTTGAGACTTTTGTCTTTAGGTGCGTTATTCGCTTAGCACCGATTGGGCCATGATATATTTTATGCTCGTCCACTTTATCTCTTCTTTAGCAATGATATACTTATCTAGAATGCGTTCTAATTATTCTAATTCCCTCACCATCTGAACCTACAAGTTCTAAGACATATCCTACGAATGTATCCACTCTTATTGCTCACTTGTAAATTCTAGATGAAGCCGACATGGACAGGGTATTCAAACTACCCTCAACTACGTTTATCGGCGAAAAAGAAAAAGCGCTCCCGTTGAGGTGAGTCTTACTGATTGTAGAATAAGACACAGTTTCGAGATTGAAATGTTTTTTAATAACTTATTGTTTTATACACGACGACACGGCCAGATGGTCGTATCGTGGAAATTCACATTCGAATAGCCGGGCCTTAATCAGTTATATTGTTTTAATGTTATCATTTGATCACAGTTTACGGACTTACAGAGGATGGTTGTATCTCAGTCAAATATACCATTATAATATGTAATCATGTAAAATGTTGAACGTTTTGATCATGCAATGATCGTGGCCAGAAGCCGTCTTTAAATCACTCCAAAAATGCACCGTTATAAAAGTTAAATGCATACAAAAAGAAATTTCGTGGTCAAATACAGTTTTCGGTCTTATCGGGGATTTCTTATTATCTCGAAATGTTTTAACACGTCTCGTATCACGTATTAAAGATGTTTAAAGCCTGTCGTAAATGTTGGCCTTAACCTTTCGATCGTTTATCGGTTGTGGACTTAGTTGCAAATTATTTGTTTATGCATCAGATAAGATCAATGTCGCATAATAGGAAATGCTCATCTCCATTACTGTAATTACTGCCGAATACTTTTAAAAGTAACGAAATATATATGTTGTAGTTTTAATAAAATGGTAATTATTACTAATTAATTAAGGCATTCAATGGTAATTTCACTTATGACCACGGACGGAAGTCCTTCAGACTATCGTTACGTTTCATATATTAGATGTATGTAATGTCTTGTGTGTTTCCGAGTTCCGTTAGTGGCATGAAAATTTCGTAATTTTTTAACGTTCGGGTTTGTTATTTGAAGTTTCTATAAAGTATGTGAAAATATAAAAAAACAGAATGTTTGTTTTTTTCCTCATTTAAATCATTCGTTTGTATTATTATGTAGAGAAATTCTGAATCGTTTGGAGCAAGCGTACTGCAACAACATCGGTATTGAGTTCATGTTCATAAATTCCCTGGAACAATGCAACTGGATCCGACAGCGCATGGAGCCACCGAACGTAACAAAGATGAACGCTGACCAGAAGAGGCTCATCCTGGCTCGTCTAACCAGATCAACTGGGTAAGCAGAAATACTCTTTTATATTCATATACAAATATATAGGTAAGATAACTAGAAGAGTACTGCTTGTGCTTAAGTAGTTTTTTTTTTATTGCTTAGATGGGTGGCCGAGCTCACAGCCCTGCTTGGTGTTACCACCTGGCCACCTAGTGTTAATTGGTTACTGGAGCCATAGACATCTATAACCTAAATGCGTCACCCACCTTGAGATATAAGTTCTAAGGTCTCAAGTATAGTTACAACGGCTGCCCCACCCTTCAAACCGAAACGCATTACTACTTCACGGCAGAAATAGGCAGGGTGTTAATACCTACCCGCGCGGACTCATAAGAGGTCCTACCGGATTAGCCAATAAATGTAGTAATTTTATGGCTTTTAAGGAAACATAAAAAATGAATTGTACTATAATTCAGCACCGCAATGTAACATAAACAAATTTGATAACGCGCAAGCCAATTGCCTTTAAGAATAAGCATATAGTTTTGATAAAAGACAAGATTTATACTTATCCGACAGCGGTATATCGTTTTCACTTACGTAATAGCAGTGGAAGTTACGGGAAAGGTTACCGTAGTAGAGGTAGAAATAGATGGCTATATTCACGTCAGCTAGAATGACCATTACTTCTGTACAATTAAAGTACATTGCTTGCAGGCTGCTAACCGTTAGCACCCAATACAGATAAAATGTGGAAAAATAACGAAACAATGACGTAAATGACGAGTCTAATCTGCGACTTCTGAAATAGGCTCCTGATGATCCTGATGATCGATTATTATAGTGTTAACAACATTTAACAATAACAATAACACGCACTTCCACGAAATGAAATGTCAGGAATGACGTATCATACGTGTCAGAACATATTATGATGCATATCAAATTTATAAGCTGGCAACTTTTACTAAGATTATAAAGCTTTTAGGTACAAATAAAAAAGGTTATCATTATTACTCTCTAAAATGCACAAATACGTACTCAATGTGGGTGTGCGTAAATACGTACATAATATTTTTTATCTGTGAATAATATTATTGATACTGAATTCACACATTACCCAATGATAAATTTTATCAAAGAACATTCACGCCTAACAAAAACAGCATAATAATCATTCTAATTGTTCAGCCTAGTAATAATTTTTCCGGTATTCCTGATAAGACTTTAGTAAATGTAACTTACATATATGATGCCTGTTGTAAGGCTTGAAATGTCTGGACTATATTTTTGTTTATATAAATGAAATCGAGTTCTAGAATGCGGTAGTAAATAGCCTTTGAGAATACTAGGTATAGTAGGCCAAGTCCTGTGAGAAAGAGTGTTACCGTAATCTTGAACATTACTTGGACTAGAAATATTTGTTAATGGTATGACAATTGGAATAAGCTAAAAAAAAAATTTTTATTTTTTATTGCTTAGGTGGATGAGCTCATAGCCCACCTGGTGTTAAGTGGTTACTGGAGCCCATAGACATCTATGACGTAAATGCGCCACCCACCTTGCTCTTCTGTTATTATTATTATTGGCTCCATAAATAATCTAATATGATAGGTCCCATCTATATTAATATCTGATCCATGGTACATGGTAATTGAAATTTTCTCGACTGCAACTCTTAGTTTTGTCTTGTTTTTGTCCTGCTTTGCGAGGAGGGAATCTATCTAGCGGAATCTATATTATTACTCATAATATCGCCTGATTAAATTCCGGCTTTTTGTGTGGTCCCCGCTATGAATGTTAGCTACACGTACAGAAGGCTAAAGTGGTGTGAGTAGAGGGAAAATATCCGATTTGCATTTCTGGAAACATCAAAATTATACTAATACTGTATGTATCCTATACGTTTTTAAAATCTAACTCTAATGTAAACTATAACATTGACTAACAAAGATTGCAGACACGGTAGATATGTAAATATTTCTCGACATGTCTGGAATGAGATCTGTATTTCTTACATACGAGAGATAAAGTTTCTTGTTACGATTTCGTTTGTGATAATGGAGGCCTCGCAATCTAATCGCGACCGTGTAGGTACAACACCGGGGGTTGATAAATCATCTGTGATTTGGATTTTATATTCTATGTCCACTTACGTGATTGATATTTTAGTTTAAAAATATAACTTCCTGGTTTTGATAGGTAGGTATTGGGATTTTTATCCGCGTTTATTATTCTGTAACTATAATTATATTTAACTCCATGAGCGACGTTAACCACTCACCATCAGGTGGGTCGTGTGCTGGTCTGTCTATACGGCAATAAAAAAAAACTCAAGTTCAAACATCACACATATACGCGTTTAATATAAATTACGGACGGAGACGACAAAACGCTAATTACATTTTAATTAATTTTATATTAGGGTAATGATCTCATTCTCTTAATAAAGTCAAAATGTAACTAAGAAGAGAAAATTAAGAAATTGGTTGCAGAGTTCTGTTTGAAATTCAAAATACTTCGGACACAGATGCACTTTATGTTAGAGTTCTATTTACTAAATTAAAAATAACATTAAATATTAATTAATGATAGATTTCACTAAAACAAAAAAAAGTGATAAAAATTTTGCAACATTATTTTGCTACCGGACTATTTACTACAAATCTCAGTATGGTAATTTATATAATTTAATACCCCTATAATTATATTAATTCTACCTTCTAGATTATTTAGAACGCAAGCGAATTATATTAATCTCGTTAATGTGATAGTTTTCAATGATAAATCCTTGGTGATTGTAGACACGGCCTAAGTGTTGTTTGTTTTCCTTGTAACGTATATACGGTGTGATTTCCCAAATCACTTCAACACGAAACACAAATAAAATCTTCCTTCATTCCGTTTGAGAGTTAAGGTCTTAAAGATAAAAAAAAAACATATTTTGAACATTATTATTCAGTCTAATTGACTATTTAGTATTTTCTAAATATTTACTTGTTTATTTCGGAACGTTCAAAAATAGTTCAAATTGTCGTCCCTTGTGGACTGTCAATAATCTTCTTCTTCTCTATATATAAAAATAAATTGCTGTTCGTTAGTCTCGCTAAAACTCGAGAACGGCTGAACCGATTTGGCTAATTTTAGTCTTGAATTATTTGTGGAAGTCCAGAGAAGGTTTAAAAGGTAGATAAATATGAAAGTGCTCGGAATTAAATAAAAATAACAATTTTGTCTTTCCTTTGATGTTTCCCCCGTCGGACGGATTCCTTTTGTTCGTTTTAAGTTTATTTTACACAAAAGTTTAGGTATTTTATTTATCGATTGAGGCACTACGAAGTCTGCCGGGTCAGCTAGTAACTATAATAACTATAAACAAATTACGCACGGTCATCCGGACCCAATTTAGGATTCACTGTGTTTTGGGTACCACCCATATACTCCTATATGTTTGAATATATACATATATAGATAATAAACACCCAATCAAAGAGCAAAAAAAAAACCTTTTCATCACACGAATTTTTGCTCGATGTGGGAATCGAATCAACAACCCTCGGAGCAATAGTCAGGGTAGCTAAGTACTGCACCACCGAGTTACTCAAATACAAACCAATATATTTTTTTTTCTTCCTACCTAAGCTGATATCCTTGAGAGGCTATTTCAGCCTAACCTTAACTAGTAGGTGAGCTCACGGGGTTCAAACCTTGACGACGTTGCTAACACGAACCCTAGCAAGAGTCGTGCTTCGCAGAATCTACCACCGGATCGGAAACGCGACCCACTGAGAAGATCCGGCGAGAAACTCAGTGGGCTAGTCAATACAAATACAATATCAATACATCCTACTAACATAAGCGGTAGGTAGCGGCTTGGTTCTGCCCCTGGCATTGCTGAAGTCCATGGGCGACGGTAACCACTCACCATCAGGTGGGCCGTATGCTAGTCTTCATACAAGGGCAATAAAAAAAAAACATTATTCTGACACGTAATGTAATTTTCATTTGCAGGTTCGAGAATTTCCTCGCTAAGAAATGGTCCTCCGAGAAGCGTTTCGGCTTGGAGGGCTGCGAAATTTTGATTCCGGCGATGAAGCAAGTCATCGATGTTTCCACGAAACTCGGAGTCGAATCCATCATTATGGGCATGCCCCATAGAGGTGAATATCATTTTTAGTAATTCCCTTTTGAATCGCGTAGAGAATCGGTTTTGTCGTTGTATAATCCGAACATGGCTATCTCACGTTCGATTCTTCAGCTTGGACTTTCGAATGTGGAACATTACCATAATGATTACTACATTAATATCTACTATGACGTAAATGTAACGTATTACCGGTGGTAGGACCTCTTGTGATTCCGCACGGGTAGGTACCACTGCCCTTCCTATTTCTACCGTGAAGCAGTACTGCGTTTCGGCTTGAAGGGTGGGGCAGCCGTTGTAACTATACTGAGATCTTAGAACTTATATCTCAGGTGGGTGGCGCTTTTACGTTGTAGATGTCTATAGGCTCCGGTAACCACTTAACACCAGGTGGGCTGTGAGCTCGTCCACCTGTCTAAGGAATAAAAAAAAATTACAGCATTACGCATGCATACCTGTTATAAGTGACATATTTAATAAAATTAGTTATGTCATGTGACAGTTGTAAACTTGGTATTTTTAGTTTTTGTTAACACAGATCTTTGTTTCAGAATTGTTTTGTAATTTTGTTTGATTTGAAATAAACAAATGTAATTTAATGGGTTTAATGTTCCACAAACTTTAATTGTTATTCAAATAGTAAAGAGTTTTTGAGTGATAGTGAACGTGTAGATTAGGTTATTTAAATTCTTTGTTTAAATGTATTTAGATTATGATCCACCCGAAAATAACTGCATAGAGTCGGTGAATTATGATGTATCTTGAAAATAATTTATAATAAGCGAATTCAAGATTAGCTTCCCACTCAAAGATCAACATGGACTTTTAACATTATGGATATGTCTTAATTATCTTTGCTTATTTTGTACTTTTTATGATCGTATCAATTTCAAAATAAAACATGGTGTATAGAATCTTGTTGGTGATTAGGAGAAAAAATGATAAATATGTATACAAAATAAATTGAGTAAAAATATTATTTAGGATCTCTATATCAATGTGGTTAAGATTGTAAATAATAAAGCTTGTTAGATGTTCTAATATCCCTCTCGAAGCCGTGATTTCTTATGAATCAATTAAGTTACCATATGTAATCGCTTCCATTCTTTGAAAGTCACGTGGTGATTATTATTGAGTTGCATCTTGGATGTAATAAGTTTCATAAGATTCAAATAAATTTATAATTGCGGCCTTTGAAGTTAAAACATAAAGTTTACAACAAAAGATAACTAAATAAGTTTTTTTCCTGAAATTTATGATAAAATTCTTGTCATTTTCCTGTAATTTTACCAATTCAATTAATTTTAGAATTATCCTCTAGTCGTATCTTTACAAAATCTATTACAATCAAAACAGCATCTATTTTAATAAATTATCCATTAAGATTGCTATTGCTGTATATTCAAAATTAGCCAGTTAATATAAAAGTTGACAATTTTATGTTTGTCACTAATCGTATATCAGTTTGAGTGAAGAAACACACGGGTCAGTTCTTTTACACAGTACTAGTAGACAGTACTTCTAACGTCTGCTACTTAGAGTGGCTACAAATAAAAGCGGAGCACACGATGCGTTGCGGTGCGGCACCGCAAAAATTTCAACGTATCGGCGGGCACATGACTGGGTCATGACTGAAACCTTTGCGTTGCGGCAGCGGTGCGGCGGCGGTGCGGCGCCGTAGCGGTGTCGCTGCGTCGTCTTACATAGAAATATCTATGACATATCACACGATGCGCTGCAGCGACGCATCGGACTTGCAACCACCGAGACGAGGTGGGGAGGGGTGAATGCGTTGCGACGTCGGAGTGACACCGCTACAGACTTTTATTAACAGACTGTCCAGAGCTTATAGAACAGACATAACAACGTTGCGGCGCCGCATCGCTCATGTGCCTGCCGATACGGTGAAATCATTGCGGTGCGGCGCCGCAACGCATCGTGTGCTCCCGCTCTTACCCACCTCGTCTCTGTGGTTGCAAGTCCGGTGCGCCGCCGCAGCGCATCGTGTGACATGCCATAGATATATCTATGTAAGAAGACGCAGCGACACCGCTCCGGCGTCGCACCGCCGCCCCCGCAACGCATCGTGTGCCCCCGCTCTTAATGTGTCTGTACTTCGTTTAGTTAATGTCGTCCGTTGATGTTTGCAGGGCGCCTCAACGTACTCGCTAACGTGTGCCGTAAGCCTTTGCACCAGCTGTTCACACAGTTCGCCGGTCTCGAAGCTGAGGATGATGTATGTATTTTTATGCAATATAATATTATTATGTATATATATATCGAGTGGTAGAAAGCTATTTGGTTTAAGTGAAATTTCGCCCAATACCTTTATCTTTGTTATTAATGGTCCGTTTTATTTGGTATTAGCATCAATAATTTAATGTATTTAATTGAAGTTCAATTAAGTTCACTCCATTCAAGTATTCATTCGATGTTCTCACCCCAAGATCGAAAGAAATTTCAAATCTAATATTCTTTATTGTAATAGTTTTGAATCTCGAAGAGATTTTTCAATAATTCATTGTAATAGTTCGTGCTTCGTGTATCGGTTTTATTACGCGTAATTATTGTTAGACCATCAGATTTTATTTTCATAGTAACATAAACGTCCGTTAGGTAACTCGCGATTAGTTTCAATAAATAGGTGTATATGCGACCTCAAGTCTCAAAGTGCCTCACAAAACACAGTTAGTAAAATAATGTATATTTTTTGTTTAGGGTTCCGGCGACGTGAAATATCACTTGGGCACGTACATCGAGCGTTTGAATCGCGTTACCAACAAGAACATTAGATTGGCTGTTTGCGCGAACCCCTCGCACTTGGAGGCCGTCGACCCCGTGGTGCAGGGCAAGACCAGAGCCGAGCAGTTCTACAGGGGAGACAACGAGGGCAAGAAGGTCGGATATTATGTTTCATTTTATTTATTAACGACTGGTGACCATTTAAATTGGAACAGAAATAGACAGGGCCGCGGTGCCTTACCCATTTATTATTTTCAGTTTCGTTTTAATATTTAATTTAAAGCGTGGTTTAAAGGATAAGTAAGACGTCTGGTGCATTTGTATCAAGCAATGCATCGATGTTCGAATTCCTCAGGCGGGTACCAATTTTTCTAATGAAATACGTACTTCATAAATGTTCACGATTGACTTCCACGGTGATGGAATAACATCGTGTAATAAAAAAGGGTGCATGTACTTATGTACGCGCGTAAGAAGTTATACTTTATTTTTATTAAATTTATTTCTTTTTATTTATTTAAATTTTAATCAATTTGAAAAAAAAATTTATTAAACAACATCCTCAAACACGCATATTGGACATCCCTTTTCTTGACATCATATAAATTCGGTAATTCTCGGTACGGTTCGGAAAGTTCACCTGCGGCTATATTCAGACTCGCCAAGTTACGTCGGTCGTATTGTAATGAGCGATTTAGTGGGCAACTTCATTCTGTTAATTTTGTGTCACGGTGCGCGCGCATCGTAAAATTTCACTCTCATCAATTTTTCATAACGCGCCTAAAGAAGTATAACTTCAATAAAAGCCGCCACCCACCTTGAGATATGAGTTCTAAGGTGTCAGTATAGTTCAAGGGCTACCCCACCCTTCAATCTGCAACGCATTACTGCTTCACGGCAGAAATAGGCAGGGTGGTGGTACTTACCCGTGCAGACTCACAAGGGGTCCTACCACCAGTAATTACGCAAATTATAATTTTGCGGCTTTTATTTTTATGACACGATGTTATTCTTACACCGTGGAAGTCAATCGTGAACATTTGTTGAGTACGTATTTCAATACAAAAATTGGTACCCGGCTGAGATTCGAACACCGTTGAATCGCTAAATACGAATGCACCGAACGTCTTATCCGTTAGGCCATGACGACTTCAAATGTCAACAACTTTTGAACATGAGGCGTGAGGCAACAGATGTTTCGAAAACAATTCTAGTCTACTAGAGGATAACGTGTCCTTATTCGGCACTTACGTCGATCGACACTCGCAATAACGTAACGTCACTGTCCAGGTGATGTCGATCCTGCTGCACGGCGACGCGGCGTTCGCTGGTCAGGGCGTCGTGTTCGAGACGATGCACCTGTCGGACTTGCCCGCCTACACCACGCACGGGACCATACACATCGTTNAAACAAAAACAGTATAATAATAACAAATCAATGAAAACTTTTGTAGCCGCCCGTACTCAAGACAGAGATAGCGACACGAACACGACACTAATGCTAGCGTGTGAGTGAGACACATTACCGCATACCGAGAATTACCGAATTTATACGATGTCAAGAAAAGGGATGTCCAATATGCGTGTTTGAGGATGTTGTTTAATCGATTTTTTTTCAAATTGATTAAAATTTATATAAAAATATATATTTATATTCCATTTTATAGGAGGTTTAAAATATTCACGAACAGTCCCTATTGTAGTAGTTGTTAATAAATAACTGATATTCAACTAAATCATGTCTTTCAACCAAGAAAATAGTGTTATTAGTTTTTTTTTTTATTAAAGATAAAGTCTCATTTACTAACGTCAACATTCAATATGTTTGTAAATCTATTTCATTCATTATCTCATATAAACAAAAATCAATAAATTCCAAACCGATAAAAATCGATTGCGATATTTGATTGAATAAAGGGACGATTGTGTTTACATAGAGTCAATCCCTAGCCTAGACCTCCGCCCCGCGCACGTTGCTCATACCACCATTTGGTTCCTAAAAACGTTTGTGCGCAGCCTTCTGCGCGAAGTTCGGACTCGCCAAGTTACGTCGGTCGTATTGTATTTCATTAGAAAAATTGGTACCCTCCACCGGTGCATCGCTAAACACGAATGCACCGAACGTCTTATCCGTTAGGCCACGACGACTTCAAACAACTCTATGTCAACAACTCTTGAACATTAGGCATGAGGCAACAGATGTTTCGAAAACAATTCTAGTCTACTAGAGGATAACGTGTCCTTATTCGGCACTTACGTGGATCGACACTCGCATTAACGTGACGTCACTGTCCAGGTGATGTCGATCCTGCTGCACGGCGACGCGGCGTTCGCTGGTCAGGGCGTCGTGTTCGAGACGATGCACCTGTCGGACCTGCCCGCCTACACCACGCACGGGACCATACACATCGTCGCCAACAACCAGATCGGGTTCACGACCGACCCCAGGCACTCCAGATCTTCCGCCTACTGCACAGGTTCGTACCGACCAGACACGCCTAGGCAATAACGCCTTAAGCTGCAGACTACGCTATACTATAGTGCCATATAGCAGCCTATACTTAGCCAACAATATATAGTATAGTACAGTGTACTGGTACTGGTGGTAGGATCTCTTGTGAGTCCGCGCGGGTAAGTACCACCCCCCCACTACCCTGCCTATTTTGTGCCGTGAAACAGTAATGCGTTTCGGTTTGAAGGGTGGGGCAGCCGTGGTAACTGAGACCTTAGAACTTATATCTCAAGGTGAGGGGCGCATTTACGTCGTAGATGTCTATGGGTTCCAGTAACAACTTAACACCAGGTGGGCTGATAGCTCGGCCACCCATGTAAACAATAAAAAAAAGTATGAACGTGTCCATAAAAATGTATGCTGTGCGATATTGTTGTGCTATGAGCTATATACTATAATATGCTATTATATTATAGCGTAGTCTGAAAACAGCTTTAACCAATTGACAGTTGAAGACCTTGTCAATTACGTATACCGTAAATGTGATAAGCTTAAAGCTACCCCAATATAAACATTAAAATTTCGCTGCTATCAACGTTACACACACGATTACTTGTTGGGTTCTTACTGCGGTTATGCGAGTATATTGTCGGAATGAGTCATCAAGTTCAAGTGGTAACGTCCAAAAAAAACGGATTAGGTAGAGGGTAGATTTTTCTTTTCCTAACATCGTTCCCGCTGTCTTCAGTCTGACCATAGTCAAGGAGCATAAAACGCAAAAATCGTGATAAGAACCCGTTAAACGTGAATGTAATATATCACTAATTAACACGTTGACTGCCGCGTAGGTCACCAGTGCCCTACGCGGCGCACTGATATAACTTTGTCGATTTCTCTCTTTGATCTACTAACTAAGGCACCGGAATATCTACTAGGCTCCGGGAAAGACGAATCCGCAGATACTGAGAATGAATCTTATTTTTAAAAGACCGAAAAAAAAACATACATTGGCAAACAAAAGAATACAAAAAGTCAGGCAATCCAGGCGCTTAGTAGTAACAGAGATTGATATAATTACTTCAGTGCGCCGCGTAGGGCACCGGTGACCTGCATGACAGTCAACGTGTTAAGAACTTATCGCTTTGTTTTGCCTACGGTACTCTGCATTGATGCTCGTTCATACCTGGAACATTTACGGCGTGGACGAGCGTTCGTAAGATAAGTTTACTGCATTTCAGTTTTGAAATGATTTACCTTTTTTGTTATGCCACAGGACGCTAAGCTAAATTTGATATATTATAAACGTTACGACTGTGTGACGTATGCCCTTGGAAATTCCGATGTCCGTGAGCTAATCGGCGGTGATCGAAGTCTAAGATGTCTTCCAGGATAAACTAAAGTAACACTGTGCTATATGTTACAGACGTGGCCCGCGTTGTAAACGCTCCGATATTCCACGTGAACGGCGACAATCCCGAGGCCGTGATGCACGTTTGTAACGTGGCTGCCGAATGGAGAGCCACGTTCCACAAGGACGTTGTTATTGACATCGTCAGCTACAGGAGAAACGGACACAACGAAGTCGACGAACCGATGTTCACTCAGCCCCTCATGTACCAGAAGATTCGTAAGACCAAACCAGGCGAGTAATGTTCAAATAAGATTTTTCTTTTTTTTTTTTGAAGTTTAGTATAAAGAGGAAAAACAAAAGAAGATATTTGCAAAAAAAAACTTATACAAAGCAAAGACGGTGGCGTGTTCAAATTGCGAACCATTTTTTTTTTTTTTTTTTTACTAACAATCACGCCACGTTAACTGGTCCCGTGATAAGTTCGTAAAGAACTTGTGTTACAGGTACCAGATAATGGATATAAATGTAAGATTTTTATTATACACATACATATATTTAATATACATCCATAACCCTGGAAAAGACATTGATATTTATCATATATTTTGACATTACAGATAAGATGAAATGTTTATAATCCTCTAACATTTTTGATGGGTATTTTCGATCTTAGCTATTTGGTGATTTCGTGATAATTATTTTAATAGATACTGCCTTGACTTGAAGGGAAAGGTCAATAATGAATAGTCATACTATTTTCAGTATAATTCAGCGTTTATACATACATTTTACAACATCAAACTGGATTGACGAATTGAATATCGATGCGTAGTGAATTTAGAAGCTACTATAAAATAAATAAAAACGTGTGGCACTCGGGAACTGCCGCGGTAAAGCTATTGCATAGCATTTTTTAGCATAAAAGCAAAACATTAACTGTCCCCTTCACACTCATAAGGTAGACCGCGCGAGAGAGATGGGCAGACTTTTCATGATGCGCATGCAGTGTGACGTCACGCCACGCGCTTATTCACAAACACTACACAAGCGCAACGTGTCAATGTGTTGAACGCGAGCTACATGGTAGGCGGAGTAAGGGGTGTAAGGTTTTTTCCGTTACGGAATTTCATAATTCGGTCGCCGCGCTCAAGGCCCGCGATAAAAGCTATGCAATAGCTTAATAATAAAATCATAAATTTGTAGTATTGGAGAAATACGCGGACCAGTTGATCGCGGAAGGAGTCGTCACAGCTGAGGAGGTTAAAGACGTGAAGGACAAATACGAAAAGATCTGCGAGGACGCGTACAACCAAGCCAAACAGGAGACCCACATCAAATACAAGGACTGGCTCNCGCTCAAGGCCCGCGATAAAAGCTATGCAATAGCTTAATAATAAAATCATAAATTTGTAGTATTGGAGAAATACGCGGACCAGTTGATCGCGGAAGGAGTCGTCACAGCTGAGGAGGTTAAAGACGTGAAGGACAAATACGAAAAGATCTGCGAGGACGCGTACAACCAAGCCAAACAGGAGACCCACATCAAATACAAGGACTGGCTCGACTCGCCCTGGTCGGGCTTCTTCGAGGGGAAGGACCCCCTAAAGGTTAGTTTCGACTATAAATCTTTAGTATTTCTATGAGCGGGAAATTACTGTTTTATTTTTTATTGCATAGATGGTTGGACGAGTTCACAGCCCATCTGGTGTGAGCCCACCCAAGTGGTTACCGGAGCCCATAGACGTCGCCACCACCCTGGAGATATGAGTTCTAAGATCACAGTATAGTTACAACGGCTGCCCCACCCTTTAAACCGAAACGCATTACTGCTTCACGGCTGAAATAGGCGGGGTGGTGGTACCTACCCGCGCGGACTTACAAGACGTCCTACCACTAGTAAAAAATCGGCGTATATCGACGGGAGAAATCAGAAATATCGTAACTTGCATTTTGAGTTAAATCATTTTTTACCATATTATGCTATATAAATCGTTCTGGTGTAATATTTGGCTGTTCAAGTTACGACATTTCTGCTTTCTTCCGTGGATATATTGTTTGTTATTTAATTGATCAGATAGTGTTTTTTTTTGAATGAAGTTCTTCAGTGCGCCTTGGGGTAGGAGTTTATTTTTTATTTTTTTATTTCTTAGATGGGTGGACGAGCTCACAGCCCACCTGATGTTAAGTGGTTACTGGAGCCCATTGACATCTACTACGTAAATGAGCCACCCACCTTTAGACATAAGTTCTAAGGACTCAGTATAGTTAACTATATAGTATAAGTTAGCTATATATAGTTAGCCTTTATACTTTATAGTATAAGAAGTTATAAATAAATAAATAAACTAGTAATAGTATGGTAAGAATGAATTTCCATTTGTTTTTGTCAGATGTCGGCCACCGGTGTAGTGGAGGAGACCCTCGTGCACATCGGGCGTCGGTTCTCATCCCCCCCTCCCAACGCCGCGGAGTTCGAGATCCACAAGGGTCTGCTCCGTATCCTGAAGTCGCGCATGGAGATGGTCGACAATCGTACAGTGGACTGGGCGCTCGCCGAGGCGATGGCCTACGGATCTCTGCTCAAGGAGGGCATCCACGTGCGTCTCTCTGGTGAAGATGTTGAGCGAGGCACATTCTCTCACAGGTACCTTTTTGATACGAAACCGGTACTTATATGCATACACGTCCTTACGGATCCATCAGATCCAATAACCCGGCATTAGATACCTTTAGCTCTAACACTAGGAGTAGGGATCCCGGGGCAGTCTAACTTAAAGATCAGCCCGCTGAGTTTCTCGCTGGATCTTTTTTTTTATAGTTTAGGTGGATGGACGAGCTCACAGCCCACCTCGTGTTAAGGGGTTACTGGATCCCTTAGACATCTATAACAAAAATGCGCCACCCACCTTGAGATATAAGTTCTTCTCAACGGGTCGCGATTCCGATCCGGTAGTAGATTCATTCGCAAAGCAGCTACTCTTGAGTTTTTAGGTCTCTTTTAGAGGCGCTCGGGCTGAGCCTTTGCTCGCCCACCTGTACTGATAAAATTGTAAAGGCCTCTGGGCCACCAGTAATCTCTCAAACATAAAAAAATATATTATAATATGAATTAATGTATGAGTAAATATACAATATAGATGATAATGTTTCCTGAAACGCCAATAGGCTATACTGCCCCAATCAGAACATTATATTTATTTTCCAAGTCAAATATGATTTTTTATATTCTGGTTAATATTTCGTCAAGCCGAAATAACATATTGCAATGTAAAAATAAACGTGAGTTATAAAACTCGAAATGTGTAATTAAAAGCATCGATACGATTATTGGGTAGCGAGTATTTCTTACATAGCTTATTTGTTATATCAGTGAATCTATTTGATGTACACATTACTTTGAATTTATTTGTGTGCAAAAGTTCTTTGGATCGTACAAGAGAGCTATCATTTAAATAAAACTAGTAATTACTATATACATATAAACTGTACATAAACTCAAATGACATTTTAAATTTCGGACTTTTTGGCGGGAACGTGAGGTTGAAGTTGTGTGATTTGTTTTAATTTGTCTATCTAATGTTTCTTCAGGTTTAAATGTGTAATAACGGTGGTTTATTAACTGTTTAGTATCTGTGAAAGTGCACAAATGTGGGAAAATCAAACACAGCCGCTGAACGTAACTTCTCGGGATCCTCCAAACAGTCCACTAAAAGGTCTCAGTAAATGACCACCATTTTACTGAGATTATATTTCATACCATATCATCTCATCTCATTTCATTTCAATTCACTTCATGTTATCATTTTTTATAAAAGTAAGAATATAAATTATAATAAGACTTGACCTAAATGTCTTATTTACCAGGACATAAAATCCCTTTAAAAAATATTTTAAATTTCGTCTCAGCTTAAGTAACTTTTTTAATTTCAAAATTAAGAAAAATAACATGTTCGGATTAGAATCTTAACGAATTATATATTTTGATAGACATCACGTGCTCCACCACCAGAAGGTCGACAAGGCCACTTACTGCGCCTTGGCACATCTGTACCCCGACCAGGCTCCATACACTGTGTGCAACAGCTCACTGTCTGAGTATGGTAAGGAAATTCTGAACTACTGATACAAATACTGATACAATACGAAGCAATATGATACAATATCTTTGTGATTCTATGTACTATCAATATATATGCAGCTTTTATATATAAAAACCTAATTATAGGGTTAAGTGTAAAAAAATATATTGTTCTAAATAATGTCATCTTTTCGTTTAGGTATCCAAATTCGTTTGGTTTGGGGATTGCCTTTTTTAGGTCTCAGTTTGTAAGTCTCAGATTTAGCTCTTTCAAACTTGTCGGGATCATGTGTTTATTTATTTATTTAATATGTATGTATAGTATTAATATGAATGTATATTGTCAAATTTTTTATTCAGGTGTCCTGGGTTTCGAGGTCGGCTACTCCGTAACGAACCCGAACGCCCTGGTGCTGTGGGAGGCCCAGTTCGGAGACTTCAACAACGTGGCCCAGTGCATCATCGACCAGTTCATCTCCAGCGGACAGGCCAAGTGGGTGCGCCAGTCCGGCATCGTACTGCTGCAGCCTCACGGCATGGAGGGGATGGTATGTATTTCATTTCATTTTTGCTCTAAGCCAGGGGTGAGCAACCTTGTTAATCAAGGGGCCAATTAAATTTTTAATTTTTTTTGCGCGACGAACATGAAACTTTATTTATAATAAATATTATAGAATTATAATATAATAAATAAATAGAATATTTTTTTTCCATTAAACGATGTGCCATTTAATTGCTCTTTAAATGCTCTGTTAGAATCCGTAATTGCTCCACGTTTATCACTATTAGTTAATTTTTAATTAAAGTGCTAAATTTTCTATTTACTAGCTGTTTTTAATAGCTACAGATGGCATGTTTTAAATGTCTACGGAAAACACTTGAGTCATCAGCTGTGTGACTATGAAAACTGTGATGTATTTGAAACATAGAAAAACATTTTTTTTATTGCTTAGATGGGTGGACGAGCTCGCAGCCCACCTGATGTTAAGTAGTTACTGGAGCCCATGGACATCTACAACGTAAATGTGCCACTCTCATTGAGATATAAGTTCTAAGGTCTCAAGTATAATTACAACAGCTCCCCCACCCTTCAAACCGAAACGCAATACTGCTTCACGGCAGAAATAGGTAAAAGTCGTGTTAATTTTGTGTACGAGTCGAATGAAGTCGAAAGAACTATGTCTCACATTTTTAAACTCCCAGCTGCTTACATAGAACGGTTAAGAATTAGCGATGGACGTGGTTTTTCAATTTGGCTTTTGCTGTCTTCACCAGGGCCCCGAGCACTCCTCGGCTCGTTTGGAGAGGTTCTTGCAGATGTGCTCCGACGACCCGGACTACATGCCCCCGGAGAGCCCCGACTATGAAGGTACAGTGGAGCGGCATTTTCAAGATCATCATTATCCCGCCCTTCTCCCAGTCACCTGGGGTCGGCGCAACATATTTCCTCCTTCCATACTCTTCTATCATATACCATTTCTTCGCTCACTCCCCTCTTACCCATATCGTCTTTCACGCAATCCATCCATTTCTTCTTAGGTCTACATCTTCCTCTATATCCTTCCACATCCATTCCCAAGGTGGGTGGCGCATTTACGTTGTGGATGTCTATGGGCTCCAGTAACCACTTAACACCAGGTGGGCTGCGAGCTCGTCCACCCATCTAATATAATAAATAAATGAAAAAATATTTTCTGATTTATTACTTCAATAATTTTTAATAATTTATTAATAATTTAATAAGTGATAGTTTCGATTATAGATAAAACGAATAGCTTAAAAATTGTCTTAATAACTAACCACATTATTGTTTCTCAACAACAGTGCGTCAGCTTCACGACTGCAACTGGATCGTAGCGAACTGTTCGACTCCGGCGTCGTATTTCCACATTCTGCGTCGCCAGATCGCTCTGCCCTTCCGGAAGCCGCTCATCTTGATGACGCCTAAGTCTCTGTTGCGTCATCCCGAATGTAAATCCTCCTTTGACGACATGAAGGAGGGAACCAATTTCAAGAGGTAATAAATTCATAAATTTTCGGTTGCTTTATAAAGAACTAGCTACCCGCCCTCGCTTCGCTTCGGAAACTGTAATTTATTACTGATTTCTCCACTATTTAATGGATGTTATTATACATATAAACCTTCCTCTTCAATCACTCTATCTATTAAAAAAAACCGCATCAAAATCCGTTGCGTAGTTTTAAAGATTTAAGCATACATAGGGATATAGGGACAGAGAAAGCGACTTTGTTTTATACTATGTAGTGATGATGATACAAGCCAAGTGCACATAAAAGTTTTGATTTTATAGGCCCTTAAAATGACACAGTTTTTATTGACTTGTTTTTTATTGCCTAAATAGGTGGACGAGCTGATAGCCCGTTTAGTATTAAGTGGCAATCGGAACTTATAGACAGACACCTACAACGTAAATACCACGAAAAACCTTGAGACATGAATTCTCAGTCTTAATTTGTACAGTACAATAGCTGCTTCACCCTTCAAACAGAAACGCATTACTTTGCTTTGCGGCAAAAACAGGCAACTCACAGAATGCCTCACCACCAGTCGTACCACATACCATGCCAAATACTGTACTGTGGGTACAAACTGTGCAATTATGTATAAAAAAAACCTTGTAGTACTACTACTAAGAAAATTTCTGGTGCTCCAAATTGAATATCACGAGTTTTATGTGTGCAAAAACCAGAAAATCCTAAATAAAGAACGCCTAGGACTCAGCGTATGTAACAGAAGTTTAACTTCTCTGACGATAGAAAAATGAGCAAATTACTTGGCGTCAGAAAATAGAAAGTTTAGAAATCTTGCACTAGAATTCGATTTGAAATGTTAATTTTAAATTAACGATAACTTTAAATCCTTCGTAGAATTATGTGCTACTAATGTTTCTTACAATGTATCTTAAAATTATTAACCTTGTGCAAACTCATACAGAGTGATCCCCGAAGAAGGTCCAGCCTCCGAGAACCCTCAGAATGTACGCAAACTCGCATTCTGTTCCGGACGCGTCTACTACGATCTACTCAAACAGAGACGCGACAAGGGACTCGAAAAGGACATTGCTATTGCTAGGTACGCAACATTAGCAAAAATCTTTATATTTAAATTATACTGTATGTGTGTATGTCACTGAACTCCTCCTAAACGGTTGGACCGATTTGAATGAACTTCTTTGTGAGCGTTTGGGTGGCACCCTGGATGCTTAAATTCACAAATCAGCCCGGCAGATGGCGCCGTAGTCGGTGTTTAGGTTATTTATCTATACTGCAACTAAACGGCTGGATCGACTTGAATGAAATTTTCGTGTATGCATTCATTCATTCTTTTCGTTCCTTTTGTGTATGCAGGACAACGTCTGTCGGGTCCGCTATTTAGTGGTTGATTGTAAATTATTGTGTGAAGTAATTACAATTTAAAAGTTAAAGTCACAGATCACTTGACAGATAATGAGTGTAGTTGATGGTTGACAGATAATGAGTATAGTTGATGGTTGACAGATAATGAGTATAGTTGATTGTTGATAGATAATTACTATAGTTGATCGTTGACAGATAATGAGTATAGTTGATGGTGATATTTCTGTGATGCAAGGTCCGCAGTCGCATTCAACTTGATCTGTTTGTAGACTCGAGCAGATCTCTCCGTTCCCGTACGACCAGGTGAAGGCCGAGATCGCGAAGTACCCGAACGCTCAGCTCGTGTGGAGCCAGGAGGAGCACAAGAACATGGGCTCGTGGAGCTACATCGAGCCGCGCTTCCGCACCCTCCTGCAGAACCAGAAGCAGATTAGGTGAGACCTACGTTTTTGCGCGTGCGGAACTGCTTTATTGCCTTGATACCCACTTCGATAAAGCGGCACGACACGAGAATCCTCTCATCGTGGCCGCGGGTAACTACATTCCCGATCCTGCCGACAGAATGGAAAGCAGTCGACGTCGCCCAAAACACGTCATCTCGGATCCTCCCGATCCACTAACGATGCTTTTAGGTACTTCAAGCACCGGTCATCGCTCTCGTCGAACCCGTCGCTTGCGACGAAGGGCTCGACGAGTAAATTAACCCACAGACACAGCCCACTGAGTTTCTCGCCGGATCTTCTCAGTGGTCGCGTTTCCGATCCGGTGGTAGATTCTGCGAAGCACGGCTCTTGCTAGGGTTCGTGTTAGCAACGTCGTCAGGTTTGAGCCCCGTGAGCTCACCTACTAGTTAAGATTACGCTGAACAAGCTTTGATTCCGTGTTGAAAATTTATCTTTTGTTAATATTACATGAAGAAATATTGTACAAATTTTTAATTCAAAAATCAAATTATTTCTTAAAATAGAGACTTAATATTTTATTTATATTGAAGGAATTTTTTAAAGACGAATGATTGTTACTCGTTTGGTCGATAAATTCCCCCATTCAAAACATTGAACAGCACGATTTGACGACTGGTTTGAAAAAGCATGTTTGATATCGTTGTCATTGTGATAACAAATCGTTTTCATCGCACAAGAAACTCACCGGCGCTCTCATCGCGTAACATGTGGACAATTGGTTGCAGGGCAAAGTCCCAATCGAAGGGGGGTAGCTGGTTAAGCCAACTATTCGGCCGAGACGAGAGTCCGCAAAGTAACGCTCAGGAAACTGAGACAGTACCGCGCACCATTAGGTGAGATTGGATCTATGTGCTGCGACCATTACCCCCCTTACTCTTTACACGCACGGTCTCATTCAAGACGGGCTTTTGCTTGGGTTAATACTATTATAGAGGACGGTGGTAGTATACAGGGTGGTTTATTTTATTGTAAATGATGTTTAGTTTATGCTTTTTTGAAGTGAAATTTCTAATGCGACTTCCAACAAAGTTGCGTTAAAGGCTTAACGCTACCATACTAGAAGAGATAGGGCGAGAGCGTAAGCAACAAGTAGCGTCCAATATTTTAATGAAGTATTTAAAAAAATATATATTTATTCTTCAATCTATAATTTAAAAAATAAATAAAATTGAAGATGTCGCATCTCTTATACACAGCATTCCCTATTACAAGAGCAATCTGATATAAGAATGAAAAATGATACACATCTAAAAAGAAGTTTCACTTCATTCATGTGCACGCGCACTCTTTTTTTTTTGCATTGGACGCGGTTTTGGCTTTTTATTTCCGATTTAACGGTCGTGCCTGCCGCGCGTTTCAATGTTTGTAACGCTTATCAATAGTCAATTCTAAACGGAAGATTGACTGACGTTGTGTTATACGATCCCCAAAGTATTCCTACTAAAACTGAAAACTTTAAGGCTGAGAGGGAACCATTGGATTATTCGCATTTTGTGTTGCGACAATTGGACGTAACTTTTTTTTTGCCTACCCGCTGCTAGTGATGGAGCTATACTAGATTCACCGAATAAGTAGGAGAGCTCACGGGGCTCAGCCTGAGAGACTTGTCCAACATAATTCCATATTACAACGCCAGTTACTTTACCGTTTAGACCAGGGGTTCCCTAACTTATTTTGTCTACTGTCCACTTTGAGAATATTTTTTTTTTAGTGGCCTCAATTTTTCATCTACTTAAAAACCACTATAGCGAGAGCTCAGTCGGTGTCAAAGAGTCATCCTAGATGAAATTACAAATCGCCTCCCAAGCCTCTACACAACGCTCCCATTTTTTTCTGGGTTTCTTACCGCCCCCTTTAGGCATGTGCGCCCACAAGGGGGCGTTATCGCCCAGTTTGGGAAAGGCTGGTTTAGACGATGTCTTTATTGAAGCTGTCACACTTTATTTTTGTATATGAATACGTTCATTCGCGGGTGGACTGAGCGCAAACGATTAACCTCAATAAATCGCATCTCGCACGGTTAGGTATAATCAACTTGCCTATTTCTGCCGCGAAGAGATAGTGCGTTTCCGTATGACGCGAGGGAGGGATTTTATACTATACAGATGATATTTTATAGCTCACCTCTCAAGGAAAATTATCTTTGCGTCAATCGGTCCTTAATTTACTGTTACCCAAACGTAATTCTCAAATAAGGAATTGAGTAACAATCATTCATAAAAAAGATGTGTGGTGTCGTGGACGCCGGGTAGGAACGAAGTTGCTTATTATGAAAATATTAATTTTAAGTTGTATTCGAGGTATAAAGAAAATAAAACTGGAGGTTTCGCAACAACCCACGGTCATTCGATAACGTGCGAACTTATTGTGGTACACTTTCATCACGGTTGTTTGCATAAGAGTTCGTGTATTGCGGAAGCGAACGCTCTGAGATCGTGGTCAATGAATGATAAAAAAATATGCTATTTTTTGTACGTTATTACAAAGTTAAATCGTACTCTGTGTGCATTACTAATAAAAATCTTACGTTACGGACGTTTTTTCCCGGTTAGGGTACCCCTCCGCATCGTCCCATAAGGAACTTCGTTCCAAAAATATTTTTGTATAATAATTAATTCGTTTAGGTGTGAATGTCAGATTCGTTTATATCTATCTATATATAATTAAAATTTGCAGCTATAACGGTCGCGCCACAGCCGCCTCTCCAGCGACCGGCTCAAAAGCCGCCCACAACAAGGAACTGAGGAACCTTCTCGAAGAGTTCTGCGTGTTATAAGCCTTCGAGTATCCCATCAAGAAATAGTCCGGACCCCTAACACTGACGACGAACTCGCTAGTAACTCGCGGTACAACTTAGACGTAAATTATATTAATTAGGGAGCTTGCCGTTATTTGCGAGATCAAATCGAAATAGTCAACAATAGTAGCGTTATAGTTGAGCATATCTGCCATAAACACTTAAACAAAAATGTTATAATTATATCGAAACGAAAAAGAAAAAAAAAACTATTGATCGTAATTTCGATTATCGAAAATTGTTTGATTTTCAATTATTTTTTTAATCCTTTTATTTCGTTACTGTCAGTATTTTGTTGTAATTCTCTTCAAATTTAATTATCTAGGCTAGTTAGATAAAATTTCTTATTTATTTATTTAACAGTAGAAATTAGTACGTGACTCTTACGTAGTATTTAAAAAACGTTACCTATTTAATATTAATTGTTAATAAAAAGCAATATGTTTTAGTCTCACGTAGTCACTCCACTATGTTACGGCGTCGTTTCATGTTGTAAGAAATTATTGATTTATAATAAATTATCGTACATACTTTTATTATTTAGTTATTTGTAAAAATAAAATGCGTTTCGCTTTTGCGCTATACATAATAATATACATATTGTATTATTCGCGTTAACGGGTTTAAATTTTTTAATGTTTTAACGTTTATAGTCGCTAGTCCGAACGTGAAGATACGTAATCACTTAAAATGAATATAAAGTTATTAATTTTGTCTCATAAAAAAAAAATAAGTTGCTTTATAATCGTAGTTAATAAACCCCTAAAAATTATCTTTGAGATGTTAGAGTAACAATATAATTGGGCACTAGTTGTGATTCGGATCGCACCTTCTAGTTCATTAGTACTTTACACGTATGTAGTTTCGTAGCGTATGTGCACCACTAAAATTTAATTAAAAAAGAATCGATTTTAATTACCAAAAATAAGCTTAGGCATTTTTGAAGAGGCAAAAAAATATAGTGTAAACGTGCTGTATTAAGAATTTCAGAAATTTCTGCATTAAATTATGGGTACCTAGTTTTCCGTATTGTTAATGTATAAAATGGGATATTAATCTAAATATCCAATACGGATGAAAGGGAAATTGGATATTTTATCGACTTTTTTTTTAACAGCATTGCTACCGTCGCGCTTTCAAAACGAAATATAATTATTTTTGGTAATTGAAAAATAGTATGTATGTGTGGTGTATAGAGGTCGTTTTTTTTTTTCGCAACCATCCGGCTTCTTAGCGGTTTGGTTCGCTTAAAGTTACCGTCGTTATGAACGACTCTTGTAAGGATTAACACCAACGTCCCGCTTTGTATAAATAAAATACGCATAATTTAATCCTCTTGAATGTCTTAAAAGTTATATTTAAAGAAAAAGTGTATGAAGCACTCTCTCTGGTTCACGCGAGCGATTAAAAACATTTTTATGGTATTTTTTTTGTCGTTTTTAACACGTTATCTACGGGAACACGTCGATCATTCAATGTCCCTTGTAAATTAAATAGGATATAAAAACCATAAAACAGTTTTTAATACAATTCAATAAAATTTCATTAAAATCGAGACTATTCGACGTGTAAATGACGATTTATAGTCCAGTTTTAGTCTCGGTCATAATATGAAAAATTATCGATGCCATTGGCTTTGTTGTAAAACTTGGCGCACGTATTGAAGAGCCCTGTTTTACTGATAATTTAAATGTTTTCTATGTTCCCGTATTATTGTTGCTCAGGTTGTGTGGTGATATGAATGATAAGAGTGTTTTGTTTGTGCATGAGGACTTGAGCCAATTTATTGCTATATAGTTCGTACTAGTTACTTTACAATAAACATAATATACAGCAATGTGTTTTTGTTTTATTTGCCACTTTTCGACTCCCGTGCCCTCCTCTAGGCTATGTCGACGTATATATTATGGGAAATCTTAAATATGTACCAATATAAATAAATTAATCTCGTGATTATTCGATAGTGAAGAAAACTAAACGGGAAAAGATACATTCAGAGTTTTTAAGTCACGCTTAAAGCCTGTTAGATTCTATAAAATGGAGAGGTTAATGGTCGTTAACCTTGTGCTGTTTTAAAATATATAAAAAAAAACAAAAATGTCACGTAAAAGTGCGTGATTTAAGGCGACGAATTTACACAGCTGGTTGCCTACGTCTGCTAGATAAGGCTTGAACAAAGACACGAGACAGGAAAACGTACAAGAGATAACGGGCCCGTCTTTTCTAATGAAAAGCGCAATAGATCAGGGCGGCCTTGACGGCGTCGCGGTTGACGGCTCGCCGCACACTCCGAGCACTTTCAAGATTCTTATCTCTCGCTAGTCTCATTTCGGCTCACAAAGCGCTCTCGGCTCCCTATTTATAAACCGCTTGGCTAGCGATGAACGCGCACACGAAAAGGTGCGAAGATTAAAGATCGTATCGGTTACGAGTGCGTTTTGCACGTCACGCGAACGACACTTCAAAGGCGGTTGTTTGTATAAACGCTGCGTATTGTAAGGCTATTCTTTTTTTTAACGATGTGCGCTGTATCTCGATGCGGGTTTCCCAGCTCGAAACTTAAGCTAAGCTAAGGGTTCTGTATATTGGAAATTTAATTAGAATTGATGTTTGAAAACTTATACTGAAACAGAAATTATGAAATTTGTGTTCGACCATAGTGTATTTTACTGTACTACTGCAATGCTTGAAAAGAAAACTATACAATGGTGATGGGGCCGCGATCTTATCACATTGGCTTGTCTATATCAAGAAATTGAATATTAGATTGGTTTAGACAAAAAAGTTAAGTAGGATTTCTGACCTATTTACCTATTTTGAAACGTTTTTCGAGAATTTTCTTTAGAAGCCACTGACTAGCTTATCAATCAAGGCTATTAGAAACTATAATGCAGTCTGGTAAGCTTAACGAAACTTCCTTACAATACTTTTCTTTTAGGAAAAACTTGTGTGTTACGCGGTTTTCTGCGTGACCAGTTCAATGAATGTATTTCTGAATTACACATTTTATGCATGAAACTTCTTGGAATATATTATAATAAAATTCAGAGTTCGACCTTTTTTTTCAAAGTGGGAGGAGTCGGTTCTCTTTTAAACGTCTAAGTAATCATGTTCCTCTGATTACTCAATGTTAGGTTGATTATGAACTGGTCTATCTTATTTACATTTGAAGGAATAACATCGTGTAATAAAAATCAACCCCGCAAAATTATTATTTGCGTAATTGCTGGTGGTAGGACCTATTGTGAGTCCGCGACGGTAGGTATTACGCTGCCTATTTCTGCCGTGAAGCAGTAATGTGTTTCGGTTTGAAGGGTGGGGCAACCGTTGTAACTATACTTGAGACCTTAGGACTTATATCTCAAGGTGGGTGGCGTAACTATTTAACACCAGGTGGGCTGTGAGCTCGCCCAACCATCTAAGCAATTAAAAAATTAAAAAAAATAATTACTCCAGACACGTATTAACGTAATACGTACAACACTAAACGCAAGGAATCTCCTTCTTAAACTAAAAATTCATTCGTAAGAGACGACAATCCACAGAAGTATCACGGCACTTTGTTGTTCGTCCCGGGGCTTAGTCCTTTGTTTTCTAAAACCATCTCGAGCTCCTTTAATACTTTGTAATGGCGGGACAAATTCAGTGTTCCCCGTCTACGTTGGCTGAGACGAATATTCGTACGAGTTTTGAGTATGCTTAAACAAACTTAGCAGTAACTAAGAGACGTCTTAAACAAATTTACGGTTAAAATTAAGCGCACGTGTAAATATTATATTGATCGTACTGGACTTTAGATTTAATAGATTTTGAGTGAGACTAGCATCAAGAATTCAATCGAAATGAAAAAAAAAAACCATAACAGCAAGATGCAGTTCGCTTTCAAACTATCAATTTGAAATCTATATTAGTATTTTACACGAAATGCGCTTAAAAGGAAACTCACAATATTTTTCTACCGCGAACCATTCCCTATAATTGGTTCTTGATTTTGTAATGGCTGTCTGTGGGAAGATTGTAGAAATTACCATTCAATTACGTCTACGACTTCATGCCNAAAAAAAAACCATAACAGCAAGATGCAGTTCGCTTTCAAACTATCAATTTGAAATCTATATTAGTATTTTACACGAAATGCGCTTAAAAGGAAACTCACAATATTTTTCTACCGCGAACCATTCCCTATAATTGGTTCTTGATTTTGTAATGGCTGTCTGTGGGAAGATTGTAGAAATTACCATTCAATTACGTCTACGACTTCATGCCTCAAGGTGGGCGAGGTTTCGGTAATCGCTTTTACAGATTAGCCTATTTTCGCCGGCAAGAAAAGTTAAGTTCAATACAAAGTACCTATTGCGTTAATTTTGAAACACCGGTAATCAGGGCAAGTATCGTAGGCAGACAGCTTGGCAGTATAACTAGCCAATTAACGTGTTTGATTAATCAGTTCCTATGAACTTAACCTTCGATTATTTACTTGAGTGCTCTGAGGAATTGTTCGAGATGATACCGGCATCTCGTTTTTACCATCGCACCGCCCGCCACCGGAGTAGAGTTCATCCGTACTACCTGGAGCCACTGCGTTCATCCACAGTGCGTTTCCAGAGGTCTTTTTTGCCACGTACCATCCGGCTATGGAATGAGCTCCCCTCCACGGTGTTTCCCGAGCGCTATGACATGTCCTTCTTCAAACGAGGCTTGTAGAGAGTATTAAGCGGTAGGCAGCGGCTTGGCTCTGCCCCTGGCATTGCTGAAGTCCATGGGCAACGGTAACCACTCACCATCAGGTGGGCCGTATGCTCGTCTGCTTACAAGGGCAATAAAAATAAAATAAAAAAAGGATGATGAAAGACTAGAATAAAGTCATATAATTTAATTTTGAGCAAATGGCTTCAATTTAATTATCAAATATGGAAATTGTTTCACTTTGATTGAATGTTATAATACTATTGTTTAATCGCTTAGTATCTGCATAGTTTTATTCCTATCATAATCATGTTTTTACAATTTAAATATAATTTTTTCGTTATTTGCTACGTATTAAAGACCAAGATGCCGTGAGGGTAGGACTACATCTTAAAACTGCAATGAATTTCAAAAACCTTATGATATCCGCTTATCGTGATAATAAAGCGCTGTTTATCTAAAGCACACAATCGTGGTAGCTCATTGCACAACGTAAATTTTATTTTTATGCCATGATAAAGTCTCGCTTGAAATAACAATGGCTTTTTCATTTTCACATCAGCTTATAAAAAGTTTAGCATCATGCATGCCTTTGTGAGCGCAGTGGGGCATATAATATGTTGATCCATTTTATGGTGGTTAGCACAATGCGAAATGCACTCGTTAATGCAAACACTAGTTAGGTGTGGAAAATGTAAAATAAAGTGTTATAGAAAGTACACGGGCGTCCTGATATAACTCCGACATCTTAATGCTTCAGCGCTTCAAAACATGATCGTTATTTATGTAAAATGATTTTTTTTTATTCATTTATATTACCTAAAAATAAGATCATTTGGGCGAAAGATGTTCAGTGGCTTCATATACCTTTCTAGAAAGTTCGCTATAAATAACAGTTCTCGTGCTTGTTGGGGCCATGCCCACACTGCTTTTTCGAGTATGCGGTCACTGACCAAAAACTCTTCATTGCCATTTTAGTTGTCAAAAAATTTCGGCCACTGTCAGTCATATCGATTTGATCGCTTTGGGCTTGGGGGAATTCAGACATAGGTTGCTTCGTTGTTCAAAATAACAAAAAATATACATATTATAATCAATTTCTAATGCTGTGAATTCCCACTTGTGCCAAAGCTATCGTTGGTCTAACGTTGTGGGGTAATGACTAAAGCTACAAACAATCGCTACATCTTTATACGTCTGGGATCCACGATCGCTCGTAAGNGATTTGATCGCTTTGGGCTTGGGGGAATTCAGACATAGGTTGCTTCGTTGTTCAAAATAACAAAAAATATACATATTATAATCAATTTCTAATGCTGTGAATTCCCACTTGTGCCAAAGCTATCGTTGGTCTAACGTTGTGGGGTAATGACTAAAGCTACAAACAATCGCTACATCTTTATACGTCTGGGATCCACGATCGCTCGTAAGATTTGACTGTGTACTTTACTGATATGGCCCCTAAAGCACGTAAGTCTATCTAGCAACTGATCTTAAAAATAGTAAGAGAGGTAAAATACAACTTCTATCTGATTTTTTTTGTGAACAAATATAATTGGTATTTTTGGTCGAAATATATTTCGGCCCACCTTAAAATAGTTATTGGAAACCTCACGAATGCCACCACCTAACATCATTTCGAAAGTGTAATAAGTGTTTTTTTTTTTTTGCCTTTCTAGGCAGACGAGCATACGGCCCACCTGATGGTGAGTGGTTACCGTCGCCCATGGACTTCAGCATTGCCAAGGGCAGAGCCAAGCTGCTGCCTATGCCAAGGGCAGAGCCAAGCCGCTGCTTAAAAATTTTTGAAGGTTAGGAACATTTGAAAAAAAAAAAAAAAAGATGTAGCTACGAAACCAGATAGTCTTCGTCAATAGGTCTAAAGCAAAAAAAGTATGATATATGTACCTGTGCAGTATTTATCGTCAATGTAACGTGTATTATGTGTACGTGTGTATATGTAGCAAAAATTACAGCTTTTGGTGTTATGGATTCGTGAAAGAAAGATTGGCCGGGGGCGAGGGTGTGCCGTTGACATTTATCCCTATAGTTTAACAACAAAGGATACGTATTTGTTACTTTATAATGTCGCATGTCGCTGTATCACAAAGAGACACCTTTGTTTCACTGTTTGTTGTGACGTGACACATA